TGTATATACCAACTGGAGATCCTGTCTGGGACCCACCTTCAGCCATTAGCAGTCCACTGAAAGTCATTCAAGTACACATACCCGGTATGGTCTACAGGTAAAACTATCGCTGCATGACTCATCGGTTCACACCCACAGTGCCTTGCTTCATTGAACAAGCCCGACTGTTTCAATTTGCCTTGGACAATTTTTCACAAGGCAGGATAGTCCATGCGTGTAAAAAGACAAAAAAAAAGTGAATTTCCTTCAAAATTTCATCTCTCCTTCTTTATATTGTACCACTTGTGCCACGTTGCCAAGTGACAATTTGACGTCACAGAATCCTATTAAAATATGTGTCTTCCTTAAATTCTGTTTGCACAAATTTTCTTGGTGTTTTCTTTTTCTTTTTTTTAGTCTTATTATGTGTACTAAGTAAGCACCGTTAGTACAAGTACTAGTACATGTACATGTACGTACCAGTAGGCTAATAGAATTTCATTCTAAGCTCATGTACATGTGCACTGCACATGTAACAAACCCTCAGTAAACAGTTAAATTGCTGTGACTCAGTGTTTATTAGGCACACATTCCTAAAGAATTGGACAGGAAGGTAGAACAATTCTTGTACAAAGTTCTTTTATTATGTACATGTATAAGCTTATTGAAACCTACGTACAGGTACATGTACATGTACATTAAATTTGTACCTGTATTTATATGTACAAACACAGGGGAACCACAGAATTTTTCATTTGTACAATGTTCATGTACGTTACACGTTCATGTACCCGGTACATGTACATAACATGTATGTTGTTGAAATTACATTGCCTTTTGAGACTGTAAATCTAACCCTGGTCCTGCTGAACCCGACAAGGCCCAGCATGCAATATGCTGATGTGAGCAGGGAACAAAAAGTGTTTTGTTCTAATCATAAAGATTGTACATGTATTTACTTCATTTTTATTCGTGATACAATGCATGTGTGTGGTAGCTTTGGATGTGGTACTGGTAAATCCCTATATATAGGGATTTATTGCTTGGGGTGTATACAGTACATGTACATTACAGTTGAAAGTTAACATTGGAAAGGAACATTCTTGTCACATTTTCTCCTCCCAGGGAATTCATCATCATTTCACAAAATGTGAAAATACCAGTATTTCCCAAGGTGGCGAAACATTTCACACCTTTTCACTTAAGTGAGAACACATTTCACACCTTTTCACACAAAGGGGATAAAACGTTTTCATGCCATTTCAGACAAGTGGGAAAATTTTCCACACCTTCACAAAAGTGTAACAACATCTTCATACCTTTTTACACAATGGAAAAGATTTTCATTTTCATTTTACTCTTCATGTACATGTACTTTAAGTAGGAAAACAGTTTCATGCCTTTCAAACAAGTGAAAAAATTTTCATGACTTACGAATGGGACTGTGAAGGGGAATTTTTTTTCATAAACTTCCTTATTACCATTTATAGCATTTACAGTACTTGCAATTGCATTGGACGTGACAGAGTACACAGTATAGGGTTAGGGTATGTTACAGGTTTGAACTTTTCTGTTTTGTTCTAATCTAATCTTAATTTTCCCTTGAACTTGCAGTTATATGCAACTAGTGGAGAGTCTACCCACATACGGAGTGCACTTCTATGAGCTCAAGGATAAAACTGGTATCCCATGGTGGTTGGGACTTAGTTACAAGGGCATTGGCCAGTATGATATAAAAGATAGACTCACACCAAGAAAGGTAAGCTTTCTTTCCTCGCCAGAGGATTATCATCCTAGACGCAAGCTGCATGTAAATGTACGGTATGCTCAGTTTCACTGATTCATCGTTCTATTTTTGTAAATGTGAATCAAGTTTGTTGATGTACTTTGCTTTTTTAGTTACAAAATATGGCCATAAGTGATAATTCCGGAATTTGAAACAATGTGAAAGTGTTTTGTTTCATATTTGATTCGTTTGCTGGGGAAAACAAATGGAATGCAGCATGTCATTTCTTCCTTACATGCATCACTTGCATGTACATTGTATATAGCATCACTTTTGTAATAACATTCGAAGCTGTGAACATTCCAAATGGGTATGTTGGTTTTGAAATACATATATTTATTTCATGGTTTAACTTTTCTTTATGCATTTGTGTTAGGTCTTCCAGTGGCGACAGCTACAAAATATATACTATCGAGATCGAAAGTTTTACATTGAAGTCATAGACCCAAGAAGGTAAGGTGAACTTCAGTCAACAAAGTGTTTCAGTGAGACATGAAGTGATTTTTTTTGTCTAATATTGTCACCAGATTGAGCATACATGGCAACTCATTATTTTGTTTTACATGTGTTGTTTTACTGGTATCTGTTCTTTTGTTGACAAGTAAAGATGCATGAAATGACCAACAACAGATCAATTGCACCTGCTAAGTCACAATCCGTTAAATCACGAGACCTATGGTGGGTATCAAACACCAGCAAACATAGCATCCTCCCATGCATGGCAAAGTGTGTCATAAGTGTCATTTACCAAAAAATAATGCAGATGATTGGTAAGGTACTCAGACTACTGATTTGTTGAGCATTATACTCCAAAATTGGCTTTACTTTTGGCAAACAATGCTTATGACACACTTTGCTATGGAAGGACACCATGTTGTTGATGTTTGATACCCACTATAGGTCATGTGACTTAGTGGATGCAGTCAGTCTATTTGTGTCATCAAAGGGATGTATTTTTGTCTTTTAATGATTTCCTGATGTGATTTTATTGAAGTAGAGAACAATTACTTACAGTAACTCTGTCATAAGTGGCCTCTTCTGAAGGTATTTTGCCATAATATACATAAATGTACATGTGCATGCAAGTAATTGATAATTATTACATTTTTATCATGAATGTTGAAATAATTAATTTGCATGAATGAAGTATAATGTACTGGTATGTGTACGTAAGTTGAGTTTGTCATACATGTGTATTTTTATTTGTTTGATTTGTTGCCTTCTTTGATTTGCATCTTGACCTTTCACCCAACCTGACATGACCCCCCCAGAGTTGTACACACTTTGAGCAATCTGAACCTGTATGAGGAGTCATTAGAGGAGGACATATATGATGAATTGTCAGATGCTATTGCGGATCCAACAACCCAGTAAGTGACTAAGGGTCTGAAAGTACTTCCAGGATGATGTAGGATAATACATGGTTTACATGTTGAAAATGGGAAAAATTGGGGCCATTTTCCTCACCAAGGTCATACCATTAAGGAGGGGGGGAGAACAGTCGTTTAAAAAAAAACCAAAAAATGTTTAGTTGTGTCTAGATGCATAAAATGAACTTAATCAGGGCATATTGATCAGTAACAGGGATGTATTTTGATCATTGTAATTTTTCTACATAGTATTCTCATTTATCCATTTGTCCAAGTGGATTTAGATCTCAAGAAAACTGCAAAAACAAATTGTTTTTCATGCTTTGTTAATTCTTTTTTTTCATTTTGAAAGTCCTTTCAGTTTCCTGACAAGCATGATTTATTACATATCAGTAGTGAATGTTATGGCTACCTCGCATGAAAAGGAAAACAGTTCAATAGACAGAATTGACCTATGACCTTTTCTCTTTGTTGTGTCAGGAAGAAAAAACTTAAACATTTGACAAAACGGTTTATCCATTGTACATGTAGCTCAGTCGGTTGTAAAGCACCTTTGACATGCAGGCTGCCGGTATTAAAGCTTGTGATTGTTGCCTGCCTCTGAGCTTGTCAGAGGGCAGATAATCCACACTCATTGCTGTGGGTCTTATAGAGTGGTTGAACCAAGCAGTTGCTTGCATAGTACCGTACATGCAAGCTGTTGATGATGCATTATCCTCATTATTTCTTGTATGAAAACTTGATTGCTTAGAAACCAGAGAATTCATTAACAGTCAGTTTGATCTTTTAATTGATTGGTTTATTTGGCTGGTGATTGAGTGACTTCCAACAATGAGCATAGACTGTACATTTACTTATATTTCAACAAATGCTCTACATGTGCATATTTTCATATACTGAGCTCAGTAACCCTGACATTTGATATTCTGGGAATATGGAGCTTGAATGAAAGGGAAACTACATACAAGTTTACAATGGATACTGGTTAATACTTCAAATTTGTTTTCTTTGTTTGGCACAGAGTTTCTGTGAGCAAACGAACCTTTGGTGCTGCTAATTCTACCATCCATGCCTGGTATGGCTCACCAGTAATGGTCAAGTCCATGTGGACAATGGCAGTTAGACAACATCAGTTTTACTTGGATAAGAAACACAGCAAGGTGAGAGTTGGACAAAGGGATGGAGTTTAGGGTTTGTAAGAAACTTAAAGGGAAGGAGGTTATAATGGTCAGATTTGGGATAGTGTAAGTTGGCTCTGGAGACATGGAAAGATTTCATCAACATCAGCCTACAGCCTGGATCTTTGAAATGCTGGAACAATTGAGTCCCCGAGGTAATGTGTGCTGATTAAGAACTTTGCATTCTCGTGCCTATCTTGAATGGGGAAAGAGTTTTGGATTAATCATTCTGATATGGAAATGAAGTAATCAATCACATGCTTTGTCATTGTGTGCACAGTCAGAGACTGGAACAGACAGACAGAAAAATTCTTATCATGTGCAAATATATATTAAAGACTAAGCCACATGAAGAGGTTAGATGGTCTAGCTTTATCTGTCAATTTGTGCATTGGAAAATTTTATTGGACATGGAAGACCTGAGAAATTATTTTGTTTGTCTCAACAAAGATCATATGTCATTAAAGTGCAAATGCTAGTCATGTCTGTTGCCAGTGTGCAGGACTGTATTCACTTTTTGTTCATGCTCTGATGTAACTTTTTCTCTGTATTGAGTTTCAATATTTCTGAAAGCAGTGTTCCCCTTCTGAAGTCAAGGCCTCTTAAAAGCTCACATTTGATATGAAGGTTATTTGAAGTAAGGTTTTAGGTCTGACATATCAGACATCTCTTGAGCTGTCTTGAGTCTGTCTCCCTGCTTGAGTTGTTTTCATCATTTTTGTCATTGTGTTGTTCACTTTCTGGATTTCATCATTAAAGAGTACTTGTATTTCAATAGGTATTTTTTTAAAATAACGCATCTTTTAAGTCTGTCTTTTTTAAAAACTGGAAATTATCTTTACTTCTAAATTATTCTTTCAAGTTTGCTCAGTTTCCTTTCTGAATGCAAACCATTTAACCCACTTACATGTAAATGGCATAATACATGGAATACATGTCCTTCAATTATGTTGTCTTGTTTTGCCAAGTATGGTAGGTTGAATAACGCACAGATCTGTCTGTTGGCTTGCTTGATGGTTGATGTCTATTTAATTATGTATTTTAAGATATCATCACCTTTGAAATAATTCATTGCAACAGCTATAATCCTGCCATGTTTTATTGATGTCCAGTCACCGGTGGTCTCCATATTAAAATGTCCAAAGGTGGTCAGAGTTGTTAATTGCTACCCCTCTAGGACCCTCATAACTTCATATGTTTGTCTTTTTATGTTTACATGTATATTTGCTTTTTAAAATTGTTGTAAAGCACTTTGAGCATCCTTTGGGATGGATTTTGGCACTATATACTGGTAAATATTCACTTATACTTTACAATTGATCCTGTTAATCATGGACTGAGATACTTTTTTGAGATGAATCATGGGCACTGTGGAATCCAGCTCAAATGTGCTTGATAACAATTGGTGTAAATAAAAAAAGGTTCGATTTGACTGCCAGTTTCCAACTACTAACTGGTGTTGCTTATGTGAGATGATCTTTTCATTTTATGATTGGTTTGCTCATGGCTTTCATTCTATTATCCCAAATCAGGAGCGATACCCAGCACAACGGAGCTTCAATCAGATTGCCAACGAGCTGACGACGAGTACCAATTCCTTAACACCATCCCAAACCTCTGAGATGAGCGAGGAGCAGACAGAGGGAGAGGGCACTAATATCACCCTTTTGAAGGATGCAAAGGAAGCTTGTGAGTCAATGAATGAGTCTCTTGGAAAGATCTTAACAGTCTTTGTAATAGAGTTACTTATAGATGATGCGCTGTCTTATGGATTAGCATTGGGCAAAGAATGAAAATGAAAAATGCAGCAGCAAGATTGATTTTGTGACTTGAAAGCTAGATCGGGGTGCTACAAAGTTACGAGCCCACAGATATTGTACATGTACCTCAATGTTGTTGGCTGCAACAGCTTGTCAGAATGTGCTGTAAAGGAATTTAAAATACTTTCAGATTGAATCAAATTCTGCAGAAATCTTACGTACACACGTATGAAATTTTATTAAAAATTTAACATATTGCATAAGGCACAAAATTCATACATGGCCATACACTGCTTCCCAAGCATGGGTTTCCAATATCACCAGCCAGAGTTAATGAGTGATGAAATTAATCACTTCAGGATTTGTGGTGACTGACATACAACCCTTCACACTGAATGCTTCCTCAGTGATGCATAACGCATTTAATTCCCATATTGTCAATCATTTGTGATTGAATTTTTGTTCTTCATTTTCCTGGCAGCCTCTCGAGAGCTGCTGGCCATTGAAGGCGAGGTTGCTCGTAAGGAACTGGTCGAGGCACTTAAAGCTCGTAAGGTGGTGCTTCAAGACACGCTCCAGGAGAAACTAGAAAACTTGAGACAGCTGTGCCTCAAGGAAGCTGTGAGTTAAAGGGCCCTTAATTTAGAATTTAATTGAGTAATCTTTAACAAAATTATACCAAAGAATTACTTGAACAGATCAGTTTTAGAGTGTTCTGTGAGTTGCTCTGGTCAAAGTAGCAGTTGATTGTTTTAGCATGACAAAAGTTTAAGTTATGTTTCCAGTGATTTTCATTTTCTGATAAAATGGTCAATTCTTATGGAATCTTTCCCTCATTGCTGGACTGTGTGAAATTTCACTCTGTAAACAGACTGCTTTGATGGCTTGTCAGTTAATTAAGTTACAATCACTTCCCGTTACCAGTATCTTGATAGCCATCTGGCAAAGCCATCAAGAGTGCTTATTGCATTTGAGATATATTATCAATGATGAGTACATGTATCTCTGTAATCTATATATTTTGTCCTTCCCTCTTTAGCTAAATAAGATTGCAGATTTCCTGATTTTTGTGAGACAATTTCAGGCTCTTTGTTTAGATGTTACCAAGGATTCTTTGATGTACACTTACCACTGAAGTTGATGTACAATTCCAGCTGTACACATTTGATTTCCCTCCCAGAATTTGACAGATGTATTTCTTCTTCCATTAGGAGATAACAGGAGAGTTGCCTATTGAGTATCCACGCATACCTGGTGAGCCTCTACCACGTCCCAAGACAAGAGTTACAACAGCCTTCACTCTCTCAGATAAGACAGTTAACACACCAGAGAGTCATGAAGAAGTAAGAGTCTTTTAATGTTGTTAACTTGATAAAAGCTGTGTGCAGAAGTTGTGCGTGTAATTTTTGTCCGTCTCTCTTCAGCTGCAGATAAAGATAGTAACCTTCCTGTAAAATTACATTTCAGTCAGAATTTGCTTACATTGTCATTTTGGTGTCAGAGTTCTGTAGAGCAAAACCCAGTACTAAGAATGTGTGACTCATTTATGTACATAGCTTCACCCAGCTCAGAAAAAGGGCAAGATTCCCAAATATAATGATCAGTAAAAATTAGAAACACTATTGACATGTGATATTGGCCTTTTTGGTTTGACTGTTGTTACTGGAGGGTTTTGTGCTGGAAGTCAACTTCAGTTTCTATTGATGTTTCAGACAATGTTTTGTAAGAGCATTGTTTTGTATCTGAGTGACTACATTTTGTGAGATAAACACTGCTCATATTTGATGTCCATTCCCATAAGTGAGTAAGCTGTGGTCGTTATCATTTTGGTTGGCATTCAGGATGAAGGCTTATCCCGGCTTGAAGGAGAGTATGAAATACAGTCTAAAATCACTACAGCGGCCATGAAACTTGCTAATGATCCAACCATCAGTAAGAAGGTTCGCAAGACACGTCGAGATTCCTACAAGAAGTCTGCCCAGAGGGTAAGTATCAATTTTAAGACTAGGTCAGGATGTTGTGGTATTGTTGGCTCAGATCCAGAGGAATCAGCTTTTCTGTCGGATATTATGTAAAACCTTTAACCATTCTAAGTCTCTTTGTCAAATAAAACATAAGGCGTTTGTTTTCTTGTATCTGTTGGTAGTTGTCTTTTGACTTTTGCAATTAATTTAATAAGTGAAATTACTAGAACAGTATCAGTTTGATAAAGTTAAATGCCTAGTCATAAAGTTGCATTCGTTATCTGTGAACATTGAATCCAGATTGCTTTAAGAATTCATACTAAGTGAACATCTTTTTGGTATGCTTCAGCTTAACAGTATTGAAGTGCAGCTGATTGACCTCCGTCGCAAACTTGGACTAGAATTGGCAGAACCATCTCCTGAGAAAAGAGCACTGGAAGAGTACAATAGCATGAACCGCTCAGGCCGCAAAGCTAGCACGCCCCATACTCCACCGACATCAAGGTTGGGTTTTGGGTTCATGTCAGAGCGGGGAAGGACTAAAACTTTAGATGACAAAAAGGGGGCCAGGATACGTTCCAAGAGTGTTCCGCGCCAACTGCTGAATGGAGGCTGGAGATCTCCATCGCAGAGCAGAAAAAGTAAGGATAAAGGTCAGACACCAGTAGAGATTTATTCAGATACACCACCAAAAGATTCACCGAAGGCATATAAGAAGAGTGATTCTAAGAAGTCATCTCGTGTCAAGAAACCACCTGTGAGTTCTTACCAGTCAGAAACTAATCTGCAGACTAGCAGTGATTTAATGAATGGACCTCGCCAAATCCGATCAAATAGTATGAGTAGTAAGGATAGCTATCATTCACATCGATCTGTGGACTACGTTGAAAATCAGCGGCAACCCTCCTACGCGAAGACTCCTGTTGGATATTCAGACACTTTTAGCAAGAGCACACCCACATTGAACTTGCAGGGGGAGACTTCTGGTGCTGATTCACCACGTCGTCACAGAAACCCGTCAAACTCTGGATCAAGTGGCAGTAGCTCAGCACGGGGGCCACCGCCATCGTATCATAACAGCACTGCGTGTAGATCACTGAATAGGACTGGGCGATACTATGAGTCCCCTGAGCTGAGCTCTTCACGGAGAGATTACGACTCCCCACGTTTAGGACATCATGCTGCATCGTTACATGACTTGCAGTTATCATCAGCACACCGTGAGCTCCCTGAGTTTGATGATGACCTTGAATATCACCAACAACCAACTTCCCTTAGCCAGCCTGCTTCACCAAAGAAGCACCATTCCCTTGGAAATCTGAATCTGAAATCTGGTAGTGTTCCTGGCCCTCAGGACATAGAGGAACAGAACTCTGCTGCTTATACTCCGTATCGGAGTCGGACGCAGTACCGATCACAGCAGTACCAAAACTATGCTAGTCGGTTGCAGGGCCCAAAGAAGTTTGAATTTGAGGAGGTCAACAATTACATTAATCAACCATATGACCCCCAGATGGACCAACATGACCCACAGCAGAATCAATCTGTTTACCATGATCAGGTTGATTTCACTATTGATCAACCTGTCCCATCAGATCGTGGATCTGGTCACTCCTCACTGGTAGGTGACTTCCAGCCTGGAGCAACTCGTAATCGTCATCACTCCATCTCTTCCCAACAGTCCTCTAGTAGCCATTCATCCCATAGTTCATCTATGGCAATCCAGTTAGGTCCTGGCAGTGGGGGATCCCCATACCACTCTCAACGGACACCTGTCTACACCCATGTCTCTGAATATACCTCCAGCTATGCATCCATCTCACATACCCCTTCCAATATAAATGTCTCAAGTCACAACATGAGTGCACATTCACAGTCTATGACATTATACCAGGAACCTCAGCCTGCAGATACTTACAGAACTGAACCTAAACCTGCTGCTGTCTACCGCACTACATCATCAATGGTCTTAAGACCCCAGCAGACATTTGGTACAGGTATTGCCGTCAGTAAGGTCCATTATCAGCCAGTCACCCCCATGACATGTGAACCAGTGGCTCTTCACAAGAAACCAACCCATTCTGCTTCAACTAATAGGTGAGTAGTATTTAAAGTTGATAGTAGAAGGGCTGAGTTGGTATCTGAAAAGGGCATTTCTTCCAGAGTTATTTGATTCTTACAGCCAAAACTTTGATTTGAAACCACAACACTTTCTTATTTCTCATGTTCCCATTTTAAAGGTTGAATTATCATCTTGTCTGCAGAGCAATTGCAAATTAAAATGCTGTTGTACAGACAAGGGATTTGCTCTTGAACAAAGACACAAAAGGCATAAAACCAATTAATCTCAGAGTTCTACCACAAAATCTGTTTTGTATTTGCAATACTTTTTCTAACAGTTTTCAAAATCCAGGATCTTGTTTCTAGTTATGATAACATTGTGTGTGAAATGTTTAATAGGTATTTGTTGTTCCAGTTCTGTTCATGTGTTGTTGAAATGGCTACATTAACACCTGCTTTTTTTCCATGCGTAAACTGTGTTTTATTTGCTCAAGTCTGTTTCATGTCTTTGATGATGTGTATTTTTTCCAAACTGTGTAATCATGAAGCATCTCTTCTTTCTTAAATTCATCTCAAGAACTTCATTTAATTAACTTTCAGAATAACATGAAAGCAGAGGCAACCCTTGCATTCACACCCCTTTTCCCATTTCCGAAACCTTCACAGCATAAATTGATCAGCTACATGTAAGCAAAGCATACCTGTGAATTGGTCACAAGCAACACATGCTGCCATGGTACCGGTACCTGTAAACCTGTATTCGTAGCTGAACAAATTATTTCCTTTGTTTAAAATTTATTTATTTTTAGCAAAGTTCTTTCTTAAAAGCTTCATTACCATTACATGTAGCTCCTAATTTTGGCTTGTCACTCCACTAGGAATGCAGTGTCCTTTTTTGTGTCTAAAACTGATGTGAGTGTCCTTTACAAAATGAGAAAAACACAGCCTTGCCCTTTCTAGACATTACTAACTCCAGAGTCAGTTACTAACTTTCAGAAGATGTTGAGGAATGCATGTGAAGACAATGTCTATATTGAAACTGTTACAGCATGAAAAGTAACACACTTTGTTATCGTTCATGAATGGGGATTTGCAGTAACTCCCTAAACACTTTTTACTTGGTTAGGGAAATTAAAAAAAACACCAGTTATTTTGCTTATTATTCTGTTGCCTAGTAGTATCAGTCAACTGCACCAGTAGATTAACTACATGTAACTACATGTATAACATAATTGACGTTAGAAGAAGTATATGTGTACTGATGCAGTTTTGGAAAGTACATGTACATGTCCCTTAATTATATGTGCAAACAGTGTTGATGTCTCACACTTCTGCACTGTGTTGAGAGTGCTGTATGCTAGCAGTTTCAAGAAAAGCTTCATTGTTGCTTTTGTCTAGTAGCATCGTATACATGTACATATATGTTCAAGCATTCCCAATCCTTTGAGCTTCATTTTTGTTTGGGTGTATACTTTTATATGTTTAATGTTTTCTTTCCATAAAGAAATAATTATGCAAAGTCATAGTGTCTCTGACTTTGATCAAAAACTATGGTTAGCGTGACAGAGGGTACAGTAATATGGGTAACATTAGCATTAAATTGCCTGATTACAGCCTCATACAGTTATCTTGATATTATTATGCATTCTGGGAACATCTTCATGTCAAGTCATTCCTTGTGCAATGTACACATACATGTCATCACAGTGCAAAACACTGAAATATACTGAAAGTACATGTACATGTTCATTCATGCAGTTTACATTGTCAACATGTTACAACTTTACGAGAAATTACGATTTACAATTACTGTCACAGAAGCATTCGAAGAAATCAGATAAAGCTTTTTATGAAGATGGAAATTTAACATTCCTAAATAATAATGGGTGATTTGCTATATGCTATACATGTTGTACTATTTAAATGCGCTATTTTATTTTTGATAAATACCTCTTAATTTGTGAGAGAAGAAGACATTCCCTTTTTGCACATGTACAGTAGCTTGTTATAATTGATTGCCAAAAGCTGCCACTAACCCATTGCATGCCATCTTGCCACAGCGCTGTCCTTCACTTACCCCCTCCCCCCACATTGTCTGTTGAACTCACAGCATGTTGCTCTGTCTTGTTTCTGGTTGTTTTTTATCCATTCACCTGATCTAGCCTTCCTTCGTTCACCGCTCTAGAAGGTAGATCCCATATGGTCCGACTGCATGAGGAGCGGCCCCCATCATATCAGAAGTAAGAATCTCAGTCATTTTGCCCACTTTGTCAAGTTTTGTCTTTCAGATTTATTCATTTTTTTTTCAACATGGCTAGAAATTAATTTTAGCCATAAGGTACTATTAGTTGTTTGGCCATTTGTGGAGATTACACAAAGATATCTTATTGTCATTTTGCATATTTTGAAGTTTTTGAGATTGCAGAAAAATTGGAAATGTAATCAAACAAATTCTAGAAATATTCAGGTATTTGCTTTTGCAAAGCCATTTTGTGAGCCTCCCTTCCAGTTTTCTGGCTCCAAGTGTAGCAAAGCCTTTCCTGTCCTTCAGTAAAAATTTGATTTCAAGAAACATGCCTATATCATTGTCAATCCTTGAGGGAACATATGCATGTATGTACGGTACATCTGCATGTACATGGTACATATGTACATGTACATGTACCACTCTCTCTTTTTTCTTTGCTTTGATTATACTGACATGTATATTTACTCTCTTCCCCTGGGATGCTTATTACAACATAATTGAATTTGAGCCTAACAAAATAACCAGAGCTACATGTAGTAATGTACACACCAGTACATGTGCCTGTTTGCCCCATTTCTCCCAAGTGGTTCTGTTGTGCTGTCTACCCATGTACATGTACATGCACATGAATACATGGCTTTGTGAGTTGTCATTGTTTGTTGGTGTTTTGGATGAGACATTGTGATAAAAGGGTTGTGGTGTTCTTGCTTTTTCTCAGTCTACCATGTCTTTTGCTGGAATTTTTCATAGTTTTGAGGTCAAATGCTGTCAATGTATTGTATTTTATTTCAAGTTGTTGTTGAAAACAATTCGGTAGACAGGCTTCAGAAGCACTGTAACTTCTATGCCAAAAACTAGTGAGCCATTCATGTGAAGGACTATTGTTGGTATCTCTGAGAGGATACAGTTTGAACTGAATATGTTGGAGAGGGCTTTGTCCGAGAATTTGACCCTTGACCTCTGAGTTGATCCTCCACCAGACCTTTTCAAGTCCGAATGAAAATCCGCTGCACTGATCTAGGCCAGGGTGCCACCACGGTAACGGCGCAAGGTAAGATGGCTGGCCTTCTGCCTGCAGCTTGTTGCCATGGTAACCAACCTCCAAAAGAGAAATGGTCAAATGGAAATGAATTAACCGTAATCAAATGATGCATGATCATAAAAAAATGAAATTAAGAGATACTGATGGGAAGAACAGCCTGTTGAACTTTGCCAGTGCTTGTTGTTATTACTGCGATGCATGGCCTTAAAAGGTTTGATTGTATTAAAAAACCCTTGAAAGATTTGATAATGTTTTTCCTCTGCAGCATGAGTGCGAGGAAATGACATAAGTTACCCTGCACAATGCATTTTGTGCTGACTGTTGCCGGTAGGATGTGCATGGCTTTAATTGCATTTGACCCCAGAAATCTGGCTGTCTGGATTAAATCGAAACATGGTCTCTCAAGTTGGATTCTTCCCCAGAAGTTTTGTTGAGAATAAAATTTAATCCCGACGGCAGGCTTTAGCAGTGATTGGTTCAGGTTGTATCAGGAAAGTCGTACTTGGCTACCAGACTTGTCTCTGGGCATTCTCCTTTTTTTTGGATCTGTACATGTATTTATGCATTCTTTTCAAACCTTTGGGTTACCTAAGGCAGGTGACAGATACATGTACATGTATTACATGTACCTCGTCATTGGGGAATGTCCAGAAAGGGAAATCTTCAGGCCGCAAGCACAAAAAATAATGCTGCAGAATGATTGCCCTAGATCTCTGACAATTCTTATCCCTTAACTGCTCAAGGATACAATTGGTACATGTATTTATTAAATCAACCGGACAGACTCAAACAAATTGCAGGAAATGCTTTTTCTTTCCCTGAGGTCTTCCATGAAGTTAGATTAACCCAGTTTCTGTGAGATTGAAGTTTGTGTAATGAATTAAAATATTTATTTTTGAGTCCTAGGTATTCCTATTTGGCTTTGTTACAGCAGTAAAACAGAAAGGTGTTTTTGTAGCTTCATTACTTTTGACCAGTTAACTTGAGCATACTGTGGTGACACATTTGGAGATACAAGCAGCGTTAAATGTCCTACAAGTAGGTTGGATGAGCATCTGTGCAAAAGCCTGAAGGACAAGTGTAGATCCATACCTTTCAACAATTCTACTTAGTCCACTTGATGAGATCCCTATGTGTATCATCTAGAATTCATTCATTTAGGTGTTCATGCAACCTTCAAGATTATCAGGAGAAATTTGAACATTTTACTCATGAGAATGACATGTTATTCTGAGTGTTTTCACGAGATGGATTGTACACTGGAATTTGCTGTGGAATGCATTATCATTTCCATGATAAATTCATTTGATACTATCCTCTAAAACGCCTGTTGGCCTGTGTATTTGCTGTGTGAATTACATTTGCTGTGTGTAGAAGAGTAAAATACACATGATTTACAATGTATATTGAGACACTGTAGCAGACCACTGCAAAGCTGCAAGGGAATGGTAGAGAAGCAGTGCATTTATCCTTGTTGTATGCGACATGTTCCATTTTTTATATTGGGTGTGTCATCTCATTTCTGTGTAAATCTCTTATATGACGTCCTCTTTGGTTCCTATGGGAGTTTGTTTAGTTGCTTTTCTAAAGGTCACAGTATTGTATTGACGCTCGCTTTTCTTGGTGTTCAACTTATAAGGTGCTTAAAAAAAGGTGGCCTGATTTCATTTTCTGTGCCCGAGATAGTCTTGTTTATGTTGCGTCTTCTGAATCATTTCCTCTTGGTGCAAGTGGACAAAGAGAAGTAGACTTGATGTTAGACACACACCTGCTGATAGTCTGGTCATTGATCTCAGTCTGGGTCCAGTTCTCTGATTTGATTGGCTGGAGTGACTGTTTCCTTCCCACAGTCACTGCCCAAGGATTCTCGATCAATCTTCTTTATATTGTCAGGAGGGTGTGGCACTAATGCATATACATTGTTATTCATCATCCTAGAAACAAATGTCAAAGAAGACGAAGCGCATTTTACAAAAGTTTTTAAGATGTTTTAAGGAAAATGTCAAATTTGGTATACATGTAGAAAGCAGTGCATGTATTTGTTATTGATAAATTGTGAAGTTAACCAAATTTTGTTGATATGGATGGTTTACTTTGCAAATGAATTGAATAGTTTGTGGCTTTTTGATGGACCCATTTTCACTCAGCTGCAATGCACAAGGCATTTTTATCATGTTTATCAGTAAATCTAAGGTATATCTGAAGAAGTCAAGAGGTTACCAGTTCTACCAGTACATGTACAATGTACATGCTGTTGATCTGCTGTCATTGGCAGTGGAAACTGTTGGAAAGAGCTAGAATATGAATACAAATATGTTTAACATTCTGTAATCAATGCCGAAAATGTGCAATACATGTTTTTGTTGAGTGAATATTATCCAAAAGAACACTTACAGTTAACCAGCTGAAGAGTTTTATACAAAGGACTTGTGCTGGGAGGTAAATGTCAATTATGTGTTTTGATAATCAACTGTTTGTATTGCCTTCTACAGGGTTTCACGTGACTCTTTCTCCGCATCATTAGAAGATTTAACATATCGTGGGGATGCTGGGGAATCTTTGGCAGATAGCTTCAGTGAGGAGATGTTGACATGGCTGGAGAAACATGAGGGAAATCCACAATCAGGAACATTAGTTTGATACAGACATCACAGCTAGACGGGCAGAATCTGAATGCACGGAGGTAAGGGAACATTGATCAGACTTAGGTAAGGGGAACAAGTACATGTATTGGGCCAATACTATTGGCATAGTGTAATGTTAGTGCTGTCAAAGGGCTGTGCCTTGCTGGCCGGGGCAGCTCCATTGAAGCCAACTCAACAACTTGGAGTTTTGTAGACGTAGCCTATCTGTCCTTGTGAAGAAGCCATTTCACCAGTCCTGGCTTATTAATGTGAGTAATTTAAAAGTGATACCCAGGATGTTAGGTAGTGCAGTATTGGATTTTTTTGCTTGCAGGTGATGAGGAATTGTTAATTCCCAATGTAGTGACATAAGTGCACAATTTCATGCTTTTTTTGACTGGGCACTCAAACAATGCTTTCCCCATTTGGCTTGCTGTACGATATTCAATTGTGATTATCCTCTATGCTCTCAACTTTCACTTACCTTTCTTCTAAGGATTTTATTTACTGTTTTGCAGAGAGTTTCTTCCTTCATGGCCTGGCTTCCCAACATTTCCTGACTGATGATGATTATTTCTGCTGGCAGAATGGTATCAGTTTGTACAACTCCATGACTGGTTAGACTTTAGCTCAGAATGTAAGATGGATGAGTCTGTGGCCATACCAATGTGTGAATGATTTAGCTAGCTGTAAATATCTCTGTGTAAATTATTACTGTCCTATCAAGTAGATTGTACATATGTATTATTTAATTGTTGGGATAACAAATGTTAATAAACAATGACTATAAGTTATATTTTTTATGTTTACTATTTTGCATTTTTTAATTGGCTGATTTTAGAATGTATGGTTTTTCTGAACTCGTACCAAAGTTGCATCTGTTTGAAATTTGTATGTTGGTCTCATTTTTTAGTTTTTTTCAATATTTCAATTTTGAAATCAGACATTCACCGAAACCCTCGAAGTAAAACATCAACAATTCTTCTCATTCTTATTTACAAACCTTTTTATCGATAATTTTACAGAACCTTTATTGAAATACAGATCCAGTGGTTTTGAAATTGTTACAGGTAACTTTAAGTCATGAACCTTGAAAGTATTTTAATGGTATGTTTGTGTTTTAATGACCTATGTACTTACACCCCTAAGTGGAGTATGCAAATCGGTCAGGGAATGATTAACTCAAATTATTAGTTCATCGGTGCATATGATATTACTTCAACAAAACAATTACTCTTTGAAAATGTTACGAATTTGGAGCTTGATAATTTGTCCTTGTCAGGTGTACAATAGTTGTAGACTTGACTTTGTGTGAATGTTTGACTTTATGGCAAAACTCCTTATCCCCCATGCCTTGATCAATCCTTCAAATATTGCTACAATGAGTGACCTTTGATGCTGACCTTTAAATCAACCTTTGATGATGCTTGCTAGAAAGGTATTTTCTTAGCTTGTTTTTGCTGTGCTGTAAAATCAGGTGAAAGTGACTTAGATCATAACTGATATAAACAAGAAGAAATAGATGGTGAACCTGTATGCTTGAAGACTGAAAACATTGTCTTTTCAGCAAATTGTTTCAATGTCAGGTCTGTCATCTTAAAATGAATAAACAAACATTTCTCTGATTCCACAAAAATAACCAGTCGACCAGATCAAGTTTTTTTTTTACATTTCGTAATTTCAAAGAATGAATAATTCTGATTTAGACTGGCTGATTCTAATTCCATTCGCTTAAACAAAAATGGTTTGAGCAATGTATTGAAGTGTTTTCTGGAATGTGACGTGTTATCTTGGACCCTTTGTGTAGCTTGGTTGCACAGTTGGTCCAAACTACAACTTTGAAGGCGAATTTTATGATACATGTACATATACATGTCTTTTGGGTAGTCTAACACTTGAACAGGCACATTTGTGTCTGCACATCAGAGGAATAGTCCCAAAAACTTTAACTACTCGAAATGTTCACATTGAGGGATATTTGTCTCCTCACTCTGCATGTACGTGTACCTCTTGTAGGAAGGGTCTCTAGGTTTGTAGTCTTCATTTTTTGGGTGTAAACATTTTGGACTAATGCTTTGACATTAATCATCTGTCCTGTTCTGCAGAAGTGAGTATCATTGTGTTGGTTTAGTTAGTGTCTTGTTTTTTTAAGTTATTGTGTAAGAAGTACTTGTTCATGTACACTGTGCAGTGTAAGCTTCTGGTGGGAGAGGTTTTTTAAAATTTTATTTAGATAATTTTTCGGGCAAGAAACATGGACAGATGACAATACATTTCTAAATATTACAAATTATAAGATAAAGCCAACGATTTGAGACTGCACAAACAAAATCATATAAATATATACAGCAAAGACGAGAAACTTTAGGAAAACCTGTCGAAAAGCGCAATCCCAGATCAACAAAAATGTGCCATATGCAGGCCGCAGGATTGCCCAGAAAGCCGAATTAAGGCTTACCGAGAGGCTCTTCGACTGCATCAGTACAAATTTGCAAAAACAAATGAAAAGAAAAAGACATTACAAGAAAGGATCAGAAACAACCATATTATTAAAATAGGCTAAAAACCCATTGAAGGTGGTTGCAAGTGCCTGTCCATGAAATAGACCACATGAACAATAAAAAAAAGGTAAAAGATAAAACCCAACCACGAATTACCCAAACCCACACAGAGAAACAAGCCAACAAACTTGTTCATGTACATTTGAGATGACTCTGGGAACAGTACACTGCATTGTATTGGTGGACTAACCTTATGCCAGCTTTTTTCCAGATGGATAAAAAGTGCAGACATTGTGTACTGAGGTGATCGAAATGGTCATGGGTATTGGTCATTATCAGACTTTGATACTCAATTATTATATGAATATATGAAAATACCATTCACCTACCTTGTCCATGATCTTGACAGTTCTTGTCGGTCAAAAATCATTAGCGATTTCAAAGACTTCATTGAAGGTAAAATGTTGTCATTGGTAAATGGTGTTAACCTCAAACCCTGGTACATGTATAACATTGAAAATTGAAAGTTGTATGATGGTGATCCAACTTTCAGTAGTATAAATATTTGTGCCTTTTTGTCAAATTTGATCTCTTACAGTAAAGTGTGAAGTGACTTTGTTTCCACTTTTTCTCATAGAAAGTGATTATGTCAGTTAAAAACTGCATGATCACCAACAAATGTGTCCACCTCAAGATGAGTGGCCAAGAACTGATGTGATTATAATGTTCACTGATTGTATGTGATCAAAAGTAAAAGAAAAAAGTAGTTTAAAATGGAGTGATCTAACATGAGTTTGATGTAAAGGGTGGTTGTACCGGTACTTAAATAAGCACCATGTTTGCCTTTAATTTTACATTTCATTCTTTGAGATAAAAATGTTAACAGAGAGTTAAATACCATAGTGGCACAAGTAAACTTTATGCACTCCAGGATGCCAGCCTAGGGTACAGATTGGCCCACAAAAAACAAAATTGACTGTAAAAATACAAGTGCAATATTTGTGTTTTCAGACATGTTTGTCAGAACAAATTGTATCTGCTCGGTAGTAGGTACAAGAAGTAAAATTTATACATGTAGTTTCCAGAAGTGTTGAAAATTAAAGAATTTTGGAATGTTACCAGCGTTACAGTGCCTCCCTACCTGTTTATTTTTTCAATAATTGTTTTATGAAGTGAAACATCAGATTCCTCCCAAACTAGTTGGTTCTTAATAATTGATAGCTGTGACTGACAGATTGTGAACTGCCACAAATAACATACTTCATAGTTGTCACTAAGTATACATACATGTAGGTCAAGATATTGTTTCAGTCCATTAATTTTAAGCTCTATTTGAAAAATGCATTAGTTGTTTGTTTGTTGATTGCCATGTGGGATTCATAACTTTTCATATTTGAAGTATTCAAAATGCCATTGTTTAATTTAAAACAATTTAATTATGGATTTTGTTGCAGTATTGTTGACTGTCCAAATCCCTGGAAATAAGAATGGTGTTAATATATCAAAAAGTATTGAAAAGCTTGTTTTATATTTGAAAACTAGGGAATGAATCTGGAACTTATTGTCTAAATGTGATTTTAAGAATAAATATCCAAAGATCTGACTGAATGGTTTGGGCCTTGTCTTATTCTTGATTCCATCTTACATAACGTTACTGCTTAACTACTACAAAGTACACTTCATAAAAGTTCAACAATAAGTATGTGTGACATGATGATCAAGTGATATAAATTATAGAGAAAGGATCATTTACAACGTTGTGTTTTGCGTGCTCTGTTCAGAGGAAATGATTGTGTCACAAATTCAAGCATTTATCTACTTTTACAATGTAAAAAGTTGCCTGACTCTTAAAAGGGCCTTTCTTGGGACTGTATGATGAAAAAGGATAACTGCGTTCGAAATATGTTTGGGTAAGCCACAGACAGAATCAATTGCTTTCCACAGCAATATATCTCTGTCAGTAGTACATAATTATTAATTGTTCAAAACTTCTACTTGTGCATCAAGTGGGTAAAACTTGTGGTCTGTGAACACAGAAATGCACAAATCATACAGAGGAAATGCTTTACAGTTTAAAAAGCATTGTTTTTATTACGATGACACAATATCAATTTTCTACCATCACGAAGAATGTATAATGTGCATGGTCATAGGAGACACTGAATTTACAGTTACGCTTCCCATTCAGAAAACCTGGATTTTTCCATCGCTCATTAAAAACTCTTTTTCCATTCAATTCTTTAACAGAAACGTTCTTGAAATAAAGCATTACACTTCTCTGCAACTTTCTTGGTCATAGTGAAGTCAAACAGATACCTTTTGCAGCATCAGTACATTTGTTTCTGCAACTTTAAAGATTGAGTTTTTAAAGTAACGTGACTAGCAGTCCATTATTTTTAAAAACACAGCTAGTCTTCACTGATGAGCCCACACAAAAGCAGAAATTAGGAATACTAAGCCTACTTTCTCAGATGCATTTGCCCTTGAGACTTACATTTAATAGTCACCATTGCCCTAAGATATCAGGGTTTCATTTCTTTCGCTAAAGAGATTAAATTTGTGAATGTGGAAGCCAATTTCAGTAATGCAACCAAAACCTATGAAAAGGGCATACATACACCTTTCAAATCACCACTGACTCCACTATTCTACACTGCCACAAAGTTGATGTCTCAAACACAAGTACTACAAGCCAGTTGAAGTTCACTGTCATTAGTTCTCGGATATTTTGCTTGGCAAAGAAAATTTTCTAGGCAATGTGTTCACCTTAGAGGCTCTACAAAACTTGGCCAAGGCTATCTTGAAGTATTAAATAGGACCCAATGTGGGTCACATAAATAAGCCTAATTTGGTGGAACGGGTATTGAAAAGAAAAGCTGAACTTACTGCATAGCAAAATTCTGTGTTAAGCAAAACAGAGAACCATTTGCAAACAACATGGCAGGTATTGTACTTTACTGAGCCCAACTGCACACACTGCTGTAATGATAAGTTTGGCAAATGAATCCTGTCAATGCTGATGTGTACTAAGAAAATGTATGTCATTCCAGTGACATTTCAATCTAACTTTGCAAGTTCAATTACTGTGTTCATCTATCAACAAAGTACATGTACATTCAAACGAGCTATCATTCCATGCCACAAGTAACCCAGTACTGGTTTGTTTCTTACAAAAGAAAACCTTCAACCCTTCATTTTAGGAAAATGGTGGTAAGAAGTAAAGTATAATTTGGCAAAAGTATTCCAATTTATTCTGCCTTGTAGCCTGTTTGTTTGTCTTCTAAGTCTTAGTAATAAACACTTACTTTCCAAGCCAAGTTGCGCAACACCACTCTGATATTATCGGTTCATATCTTGTCCTGAATCCCAGCTGGTAATTACAGTATGCAGTTCTCATTATTCATGTAAAAGTGACACTGATTTGTTCATCCTGACCATATTTGTACAAGAAATCTAAATCATCTAAATGTAACCCTCCCCCCAGAAAATCCTGTTCTTTTGTCTCAAAATGGCAAAAAAGAAAACCACTTAATGTGAAAGAAACTACAAGCTATCAGAAATGAACCAGGAGTTATTTACATATGTCCACTCACAAACACACATAGACTAAATCTCATTTTCTGTAATAAATCCTATTCTTGCTTAAGAGGGGGGCTACACTGCACTATGGGGTAAATAAATCACATTTTAAACTATGACTTTCTGAAACAAATAATTTTCGCCAACATTTATGGGAAGCTCCAATAACTAATTTCAAGTACTCTCAGTTATCATGTACATCCTTGTGTTTTGTTATATTATCTTTTAATAGTTTGTGTGTTACACGGAAAATAGCCTACACCAAATTATGCTTTGGGGGAGTGTAACTATTACCACATCACATTAACTTCAGTTTTATTTCAAGGCAAACAAAAAAATAAAAAAATAAATACGTCCTTGATATACACAATGACTGGCCTGTGGGGGGGCATACATGTAATGACAATTTGCTCATATATTTTTGATGACATTCAGTAACCTCAATACTGAATTATTTTGCAACAAATCTCACAGTAGCTCGTAAATTATAAATGCTAACTACTAGCTCCCCAAATCTATGCTACATTAAAAAGAAAAAAATCATTTTATGACCACAACAGAGATAACTATGACAGAGCAATAGTTGATGTTAGATACCACAAAAAAGATCCTATCAGCATGCAAAAACACAACCAAAAATACAGGAAAAGGTATTGTACAATGTTGTTGGTTTACTTTTTTTTACAAAAAGACTTACAACCCTTAGTATTTTCCTTATGATTCTTTATTTTTTCATGTCTAAAACTTACAAAGATAGAAATCTAGAGAGTTTTCCTCAACAACTTGGCACACATGCAATCTGTCTTGATTTTCTATACAGTGTGGCAGACTGGACATTGTTACTTCAAGTTCCTTTTTTTTTACTGCACAATACGAATAAGGAAATTTACATTTGAGACTGACGGCTTCACATGAGGGATTACATGTTTCACTGACATCTTATAAAAAGTATTTCATTTCTGTGACAGGAAATTTCAATATGCAAATACCCATTCATTACAATGTATCATCTGCCATGTTGCAGGTTCCCATTAAATGTCTCACATAAAATCCAACGAACAGCACGGTGCCTGAATTAAAAGTTAAGTCCCCATAACCTCATTTTGAATATATTAAAAAAAAAAAATTGAATAAAACCCTCTACTTTTCGACAAAATGGCAGATTAATTTTAGATTTTACTATAAGAACAATGAAACACCTAGAATGAGAAAGTAATGGTACGGTAACATCATACCTGTCTTTCCATATTGGTAACACAATGGGGAAATTATTTATGAATTTGTGCACTTGCTTCTGTTGCCAGCACCACTTTTCTATTGTCTTCCTTTCTGAATGTGTTAATTAAAACTTGCAATAAAAGCATGTGATTGCTGTGTTTACCCTGCTTTTGTTTTAATTTCAAGCTGACAACTTACAAAATATACTGGCAATAGACAGGCGCAACTTTGGTCTCGAGTCAAAAAAATTCTTTACGTCAACAGTAAAAAAAGGTAAAGGTCAGGAAGATGATATGCAGCTTACTCAAGATTCCTTCCAGCCATTCACTTTCAAAAACTATTAATACTTGTTCTTAAAGTTCGAACAGATGAAATTTCCAATTGTTTGTGATGAAGTCTTGTAGCCAGTCACATGTCTATCAGAGAACCACTCACTAATAAACCTGTTTTATTATATATACAGCCTTCTTAATTCCAAAAACCGTCATTCCATCTAATATCACTGTCAGGTCCACTATTATGACAGCCAAACCACAACCAACAGCAACTTACACAGCAATGTCTTTCACATGTACATGTAGTTGGTGCTTTATCCATATGCAACAATTAGATGAATTATACTTTGCATAAGGTGAACAGTCCAGAGTAAATCCATAGGTACAAGTCAAAGTTGAATGTCTGTACTCAAAATGATTTCTGAATTATTTTTCTTCTCAAAAACATCTGAAGTTGTGGAATATTCTCACAAAGATTCAGATCTATGACGATGATGATGGATGTTTTGACAGGACAAGCTGATGTTCAAATTATCTGCAATATGTTTACTTCAAACTGTTAAGATGAAGATCATGTAAGTGCCCAAAGTACAAATGGTGGAAGCCAATCTTAATTTGCCTATCGTACTTGAAACATCCATGTTAAACTCATCAAGCCTTCACAAGCAACAATGGACTATTACACTCTACTCCAACTCATAAATAACAGAACAGTAACAGTAATCTCCTCTCCTTACTTCTGAAATCAAAATGAAGAAGAAAAAAGTCAAAAACTGTACAGAATTTGTCAACTTCTTTTAAACATTAAAAATCCTCCTTAAAAAGGTTGAATAACATCAGATTAATAACAATAATACAGCATGAGGAAATGACTGATGGTTGTAGTAAACAGCCCAGTGTTTACAAACCCTTACAGGATGGTGAAGATTCTTCTGTCCATGGTTTGTCAGAAGCAAGGATGGCTTTAGCTGTGACCTTACACAGCAGATTTGGAGTCACTACCATCTTCAGACTTTGCCTTTTTGGCTGCCGATTGTGGAGGCTGTTGACTATGTAACAAAAAAAAAAGAAACCAAATAATGGGGATTTATCTGACATTCATTTACCATTAGTTCCCTCCAATGTTTAATATATATATGTCTCTGATAAGAAGTTTATCTTCTTTTGCATCCAGCCTCTCTTGTTCAAGCGGCAATCCCCATATTATGTTTATATGCCTCTCTATTACATCAACTGCCCTTTTCTTGTTTCCTCAGAGCGATCTGATATAAAGAAACTAATCATGCCAAATAACCTGACAAAACAATTTGTTAGGCTAGCTGCTCCACTGATATAAAAAAACTAATCATGCCAAATAACCTGACAAAACAATTTGTTAGGCTAGCTGCTCCACAAGAACTGGGCTGGTTCCGAGGCCATAATTTGATATTACTCTACATCTCATAGCTTAGTGTGAATGGCAATGATGAGGTCATAGCTGTCAGATAAACGGCATAGACAGACTTCAGTCAAACAATCTCTTATTCCTATCTGCTTGTCTGGTGCCTTACCCTTCTGCAGTACGCTTGGCAGCTGTGAGTTTGGATGAGGCCTGACTATCCTGGAGCCATCTAACCTGGGTGGCAGGTCCATAGCTGGGTAAGGAAGGCAATGGATGTGATCAAAATTGGAATGCATTTTGTACAAGTACTTCAATCATTTTCAAATAATCAGTATGTTCCGAGCTCATTAAGTAAAACTGCTCCTTAACTTGAACATAATTCAAAATATTGAAATAGGATGGACAGTAAGAGTGCATCATATTTAGTGACCTTGAGTGGGCTTGACCTACCCCTTCTCATTCCTGGCAGCGATACGGAAGATGATGGCAGGCTTGCTGCTGTAGTCAATGTGAGCCGTTGTTAGGCTGGTAGAACTGACTACACAGGAAGGCTTGGGACCGCAGTAGACTCGGACAAAAGCTAGCTGAGCTGGTGTCTGGGGCTTCTGGTCGGAGCTAGTTGTAGACAGACCACTCCGCACTGCCAAGTAGACAGAGTACTCCAAGATATCACCAGCTGTGTTGGTGGGTGCCTCCCAAGACAGATGGGCTCCTTCAGCACTCTAGAAATTAACAATAAGAAATGGAGAAAGAAGTAAAAGATAACCAGGCTGAAACGAAGGGTAAATCTGAGAGGTCTTTGGTTAGCTGGTCAATGACAATCCCTGCTCTCACAGGACGTCTACTCTGTAATTTACAGGAGGAAATCAACCTTGGACAAAGTATTTCATCTATTAGACACATGTTGTGCAATCCCACTAGCCTGATTCTGACTCACAATCTGCAGGAAAAAAATCAAAGATCCATCAACAACAACCAAAATACTACAATGGAAGGATGACTGTTTGAAAAAGCTCACCTCTTTTGTGCCAAATTATGTACTGTACTGCACACTCTCATAATAAAACACAAGCACAAAACTTCAAAGTCAAAAGCATAACCAACAAGTCTTTACCTTGCTGATCCTAATAGCGGATGGGGCACCAGGGAAGCCTGGCAAGCATGTTTTGAATGCAGAGATCTCACTCCACGGTCCCCTACCACAGGCATTGATACCAGCCACACGGAACTTGTAAGCTGTGCCTGCCTGGAGATCTTGCTTCTTTAAGATGCTATGATCTGGTATGCTGACAACATCAATGTCCTGTGGTGGAGGTTGTCAGATTAAATTGCAAAATAAGACTGATTCAAACAGAGCAGGAGAGCAACTAAGAACCTCTGTGACTCCCCACATCAAATAATTCATAAATACCTCAGACAATCTCCCTATTCAACAACATGCAACTTGACTAAGCATTAACATTTGATAGTGCCTGCTGAGAAGTGATAATGCCCGCTGTGTAAATCATGCACTGGCACCTGGATACGAGACAGTTTAATTGATTCTGGTTGGTTGAGAGTCTGTACGCACACGTAGTCCATATATGGAGATTCTTTTGGACAACTATAAAATAAAATGAACGGGGATGTTCAGGAAAATAGAAGTAAAATTCTGCAACAAAATTGTTGGAATTCCGTCATATATTGACTTCTTTTGACACTGACTAAAAAGGAATTTATGAATGGGAATAAACATGTGCTTGGCTGGTCTTAATCTAACGTTTAAGACTGGCTCAGGAGACTGAATGCTGATAATGCCCTCGTCCTCTTTGGCATTAGTCACATCCATTCTCCTTAGCCGATCTTAAACGTACGTATTTATTCCCTACGTAAAAACCACACTTCTGGAATAATTAACCATTCAAAATCCTCCTGTGTAAAATAACAGTTTGTACTCATTGTAATGATTACTTTAAAGATTCTAACTTCAAGACTGCATGTGCTTCAGAGCAATAGGAATATGCAATTTGCTTGGACAGTACAATCTTGCTAATGCCACCTCCATGACTTACATCTTCAGTCCTCTGACCAGCCTCAGATGGTAAGTAATAGTAGGATACAATACTGTGGGTTGCCTTGATGATTCCTACATCATACCACTGGTTCATGTCTTTCTTCTGCACTGGTTTAACTGCAGCTGCTGTTTTAATCTATGAAAGTAATCAAACAAAAATCAAAGCATAAACCATAATAATTACTTTCTGAAGAAGTACAGTCGACTTTCGGTAATACGAGCTTGGGTAAGATGAGACTCTGGTTTAGACGAGCATATTTTGCCAGTCCCGACGGAATTGTGCACATTCCTTTGTGGGGAAAAAATGTGTAATAAGAGGTTGGTGTTATGAGATTTCGGTTGAGACTATCATTTTTTGCGCACTGGCTGAGTGCAAATCTACTGTTATCTGTCTATTTAGCACAAGCTTTTTTGAAGGCAACTTGTCAATCAGCCAGCCCATTCAATTTTGAAAGATGCTTCCGTAATTCATTCAAGTAAAATAGTACAGCGCTGCAATTTTCCGTCACCGAATCAAGCTGTTTGTGTTCGGTGCTGCAAGAGAGACAAACAATGGGGGTTTGTGGTTCCTGTACCCAACACAGAAATTCTTTGTGGCGGCTCTCGTGCCGCCTGAACACAAGCGAGTGCTGCCAAAAGTGCTATGATATTTTATTTAGGACAGTGGTGAATAAACGAAATCTTTTGTTTGATTTCCCTGCCCCCCAAAAATCCCCTAAGACCAAAGTCCCCCAGGAAACTTGTGTTCCATAACCAAAAACCCGGCCCCAAAAAATGCCCACCCCTGTCAATAAAAGTTACGTGCTCTCCACAGTAACACAAAATATTGCCCCATCCGATTTTGAAATGTTACAAATTCTCAAATAACAAACTCTAAACTGTGGGTTTCAGTTCAAAAATATTTAACAAAATAACATCCACAAGTTTTGAAGAAAAAGTGCATACCTCGCTAATAATTTTTCACCAAACCCACATGCCTTTCCAAAGTAAAATCCAATATTCGCCCTCTACTGGGCACACCACCAATAGCTGGTTTCTTCCTATTTTTATGTGCAACAAGTGCAGCTCTGGTGTTGGTTACCAACTAAAATGTTAATGTAATACATTACGTGTGTGTGCATGTGGATCTCATCACGGCGTGCGGGGCCAGGGACATGTGTACAGCATTGCTCCGAATCGACATGACTGGTGGAAATTCCGCTTCCTCTGTTCTTACATTTTATAATTATTCTTTATTACAAGCCTTTACTCATTTCACTGCACATATACATCTCCCTTTCATAAAAAACTTTTTGAAATCGAATTCATACAACGATAAACATGCATTTAAAAAAAAGCTATGCATACTTGTATACACGTATGCTTTACCTACGGTCAACTGGTGATACATACATCAAGCAGGACGGCAGCTTTCACGTAAACGAGGTCTGGATAATACAAGCTAATTTAGTAAAGACTCTTGCATACCTTTTGTTCTTGTGTGTCCAGGCCATTAGGAACTGCATCAGGCTTGCTAGAGGTAGATGAAGGTTGAATGCCAGAGGTCGCCAGGGAAGCTATTGTCATGGCAATGGAGTTGGCATCTACATCTAGGGTTCACAGAGAGGACAACAGAAACAGCAGGGGAAATATGAAAACCTGGATAAGTTTGAAAGTTGTACAAGAAGAAACTAACAGGTACATGTATCAACTGGTGTACATCCATGTTTTTAAAAAGTCAAGTAATTCAATTAGAGCTACTTTTTGTGAAAAGAATGTTAGTGCCAATGGCCGAATTAAAAAGAAACATCCATTTATGTGCTTTCACAGCAATGTGAGTAACACATAGGCTATCAACTTTCCTACCACCCAGACAAGTTTGGGAGAGGCTGTCCCTTTGTCATCTTTCTTTTCACTACATTATCTTTAACCCTACCCCCAAGGCTCCTGCACTAGAAAGTACACGGAACCTCACAAAATCCAACAGGTGCATGTACTTGTCTATGTATTTGTACATGCGGGTCACTTTACCAAACAGAATGAGCTCGTTGGAGTTTTGAGTGATATGGTATGGATGGGTCTATGCAGTATAGGATGACGTGCACTGAACAATACCAAACCTGACAAAATCAAGCATGGTTCAACAATTGGCACAGCAAGCCAGACACTGTACACAACGAACCCTGTGTATCCCAACTCACACAGAATCCAACACCATCTCCCTGGGCCTTTCATCCCAAATCTCACAAAATTCAACACGTTCATCAGGTACGGTACCAAATCTGTCTAAACCTCACAAACCTGCTGTTGGAGTATGGCAGGTTTGGGGTAGTTAAGGTTAATACACCCACCTGTTTTGGTCTTGTCATCTTGTAAGTCTCCCTTGATAGTTGGTTCACCGTTTGTCACCGCAGCCTCACCTTCTGCTTCACCTGTTTCCATAGCAACAGGTTTAGCTTCCTCTGATGGTTCAGTCTCTGTGGGTGTGGCCTCAGATTCTTTGGCTGTTGCAGCATCTACTGCTTCTCCCTCCGTTGACAGTTTCTCTGTATCGACTGAGGAGGTTGGTTCTGTCTCCATTGGGGTTTCCTCTTTTGCTTCTGGAATGATTCATATAGATTAGTCAGCGAGCACAAGTAAATAAGCGACATCATGGATTTTGCTAAGACGTTTGTGGGTACAGCGTGTGGAATCAATTTCTTTTCTGAGAGTGGTGGTTCTGAGTGTGAACTTGACATTTCAACCAGGGTGCTCTAGTTGTTCTCAGGAAAGTGTCTCCCTCTCAGTCTAGCCTCCACCATGCAAAGTTTCAAAGCTTACTGATAGACTTTGGTTTCCTATCCTGAAGTCTTGTAACATAAATTAATACACAGAGGCATATTTACCAGTGTCAAGTTTGGTTGATTCATCAGCAGTTTTTGACTCTGCCTCCTCAGCAGGCTGTGCCTCAGCTTCACCAAGTTTAGAACTCTCCCCCGGTGCTACAGTCCCTTCATCTCCACCTGCAGTGCTGCTCGATGGTGCTTCAGCAGTTCCTGTGGATGAAATGGGCCCTGTCACAGATGAGGTGGTTTCTGTTGTCTCTCCAGTGCCACTGGCTGTAGATTCAGTAGCAGGTGTATTAACAGCTGGGGTTTCAAACTTCTCACAGGGAGGGTTTTCGCAATTTGGATTGACAGGGATGTCATGAAGCTGAAGGTCTACTTGAAGATTGGGATTAACAGCCGCAGCTTCCCCTCCTCCTCCTTCTGGTGTTGCATCACCAGATGAGGATGGGGCTGTGGTGGTTGCTGGAGAAAAACAATTCAAGAACATGAGTGAGTTGGTACATAACAAACTCTTGGATGTTCTTAACACCAAAGACATGCTAACTAGTCTCCAACACTAAAAAAATGAGCTGCTTTGAGCAAAATGAAGCCAAAAAAAAAAACCATAACAGAAATAAACAGTAACATAACTTGATAATTTGGTTTTCATTTGTACTTGATAGGGAATAATTTTCTATGGTAAATCTTCGTATTTAATTTTGCCAAAACCTAACACATAAAGATAAAGAACATGTAACTGCAGTAACTATCCACTTAATTTAACAAGTTCTAAAAGTAATACTTTGATGGGTTTAGTTGATACAAGTACTGCCAATGTTGGACTGTAAATAAACCAACCTGTGACTATAGTTGCTGAGGTGGCTGCTGTTATGGGGTCACCTGATCCAGATGGCATAGTGCTTAGCACTGGTTTGCTCATAGTAGTAGCCACTAGGGTTGTAGGAGCAGGGGCTTGGACAGGAACCACTGTTGCTGCTGCTGTTGAGACTGCTGATATCTTGGCTGTGTTTGCTACTATCTGGGACACAGCAGTGCCTGAAGCCAGGTTCAATAGATTCCCTGCAGCTGAGACTGGAATGGTGATGTACTTGGTGGTAACACCTGGGTTAGCTGCCACACCTACCCCAGTAGAACTGCCACTTACAGCTGGAGTCTTGAGCACTGTGGTGGTTGTGGTTCCTAGTTGGCCAGCTGTGCTACTACCACTGGGTCGTAGGTTGGACTTGGTAATAATCTGGATAGTGTTACCACTCTGAGTAGTGATCTGACCAGTTTGAGGGTTGACAGCCCGAATGATGGTAATTGGAGAGGAGGGTGTTCCTCCAGGGATGGAGGTTTTGATTCCGGAGATAACCTGACCAGCCTAGGATAACCAGGAAAGATCGAATCAGAGAGTGAATCAAAAGTAATGCATTTAGCAAATGTTAATTTTAAGACAACTTCCTTGAAACTTGAAGACTTACTGTAATGCATACTTATAAAGAGAAAATTAAAAGAACCAAGAAAAAGAAACATTTTTATAAATTTTACTAAAAACCATTGAAATTGCATCTTTGGGTTTCAACTTCATTTTCCATTCATACATGGAAGAAGAGTACAGAGATACACAAAAAGTGATTCTAAGAAAAAATTATTTCCTGGATCCTTTAAATCTCTGAAAAGCATCCTTTCCAAATGTTTCCAAATGATGCTTCTTTTAACCAAGTGAAAAGGCCCAACTTCACCTGATTTGTCAGCATGATCTTGGGTTTGGCTCCCCCAGTTGTAATGAACTTGGTTGGGGTGCCCGTACTTCCAGCCAGCACTTTGCTGGTCACTGTGACGATGGTAGGCTGCTTGCCTGTCATGGTACCCGTTCCACCCACTTTGGAAACGCCAGCGATGGGAATAGTCTTGATGATACTCTTGCCTTGCTGTGTGATGCTGCTGATACCTAGGATGGTGGGTTGTGCCTTGCCTGCTGCACTAGCTCCACCAGCACCAACCTGGGTACTGGGACTGATGATAGTTGTGGGTTTACCTACTGCCTGGCTGGTTGTGATCAGCTTGACAATGGTGCTACCAGGAATGGCAGACTTAGAGATGGGTTGGCCAGCTGTGTTGACCAGGACAGCTCCTGACGTGGCAACTGTTTGAACTGGCTTGGTTTGGATTACGGTAGCTTTAGGAATTTGCTGCATTTGCAAACAAGACAATGAAGAAATGAATTGGGCAGGGTTCTAAAAGTGAAGGGATATAGGTCAGCTTGAATTAATTCAGTTATATCATTTGGTGCAATCAAAGTCAAGTTTAAAAAACACACAACCAAAAATCATTACGTCACAGTAATCATTTAGTATTAATCCAAGGCATTTCTGAAACTCACTGTGTTTTTGACAAGAGTCACGGTCTTGGAGTTGCCAGTCACTACTGCAGATACCACGCTCTGGGTTGCTGCTCCAGACTTCTGCACGGTTATGATGGGCTTACCAGATGCCGTCAGTGTCTTCAGGATGTTGGTGCCAGGTGCCACCTTCAACCCTTGACCAAGGGCTCCTGTAGTAGCCAACTTCATCCCTTGGGGAAGGGTGATAGTGGCCACGCCCCCAGAGGTGGTAGTAAGGGCTCGAGAGACAATGGTCAGGCCAGAGCCTGACAATGGGGAGAAAATGGACTTGGTTGGGGTGGTGGGGGTCCCCCTGGTGACACTGAGTGACATGCGTTGTTGCTGCTGCATCTTCTGCGTAGCGGAGGCTGCTTCAGCTAGTGCCACAATTCCACTCAGTGCTGATCCAGCACTTGTGGGCTGACCAAAACAAAAATATACAGAGAAAGACTTTACACCATTGCCCCCTTTACAATCATGCATATTGGTTATCCTTTCCCATTAGTAATCAGACTAACACATGATGGAATATAATAATAATAATAGTAATGAACACTTATATTGCACAGATACTATACAAATATACTCAACTGCGCATAACAGTACCCTTCACTAGCAAAGATGAAAATCAGGTGTTGGAAAAAGTTTCATGAAAGAGATGAGTTTTTAGAACAATCTTGAATGTGTCGACAGATTTAGCATTTCTTACATGAAAGGGCAGGTTGTTCCAAAGCCTAGGAGCAGCATAAATATATGCACGGTCTCCAAAAGCTGCCTTAGTTCTACGATAGGGATGACTAAGGATCATCCTGTTCTGTGCGCTACGAAGACTGTACCTAGGTACTCAATGATATTCCACGAGCAGAGCACATCATCAATCTTGCCATTTGGAAGAAATCGTCCAGTCGTACATAAACAAGATGCTTTGTCATTGCTGTCAATCTGAATTTTGCCCCCTCGGTTCTTGCTTTGTTACGCCAGTGTAGTGATAACTAGTAGGCACTAAATGTAATCTTGGAACCTTTATCACACTGGTTCATGTGCATCACCACTGTCTCATTGAAATGTTGTCTGATATTATAACCACTCAAATAGAGCTCTTTGACTAAAGACAAAGTCAAATGCAACTTTTTTCTCACCTGGGTTGTAATAAGTTTAGATGTTGTAGTTCCCGGCACGGCTAGCTTGAGAGTGACCGGGCTGCCACTAGTGTTGACAACCAATGGGCTCTTAGGAGTCAAGCGTCCTGACAAGTGAGAAGGGATAGAAAATATAGGCAAACTGACAAACATACAAATAGTCCTTCCGTTTGCTTCTGAAATGTCCAATACTTGTACTTCGACAACAAAATACTTAATGACGGCAAATAAAATGGAACTTTTCTACTTTTGATGTCATTTTGCGCATGTGCACATCAGTCCAAATGAGACAAATAGAAAAGGACTGTTGAGTTTGCTTCCACCAAGCTTCTGAAAAGTCTCCCATGCTAAAAGAATTGTCACCAAAATTGGCAAAAATTTGTAGTCAAATTGGAAAAGGTAAAATGTTACTGTTCTAATCTGACCAACCTTGTGTCTGCGGCTGAGCCCCTGTGATAGCTGCACGTAGGGGTGAGGTAGTCGTACCAGTCATAGGGGATGATGGCGTTGGGGGCATATCATACTTCTGTAACTGCAGCAAGTAGGCGTCCGCTAAAATTGAGGAACATAGTTTTTTATATAAAATGCTATCTTAGTTACAGACAGAAGTCTGTTGCTGAGTCTGGCTAGTTTTGATCAGCTTGACTATTGTGCTGTTAGGAACGGCATACTTAAATATGGGCTAACACTTTATTTTGAATAAGATGAGGTTTTAAAGGAAAAAAAAGAGGTACGGCTGCAACAATTCCATAAAGTCCAAGTGTCTGTGAATAATTAATGATTAACTCACCAATGGGAACTGATCCCCAAGACACTTCCAGAGTGTTAGTGCTTGCTCGCACTAGTTGGACTCTGGAAGGGGCAGGTGGCTTCTCTGTCTCCAAGAACCACAAGTCTTTGCAACACACCTGTGCAAAAATGAAGGACTGTATTTGTCAACTGTTGAGTCTGGAAACAAAATTCTAAGAACATATTAGACAAAAATTGACAAGGACAAGGCACTGCAAATCTTTTTCTGTTATGATATGAAGTTAAATAATGAGTACAGTACAACACCACTATTATTTGGTACAATGATCTTTTGGTATTGCGATTTGTCATTTTCAGTGTACCCATTCCTTACACAACCTGCCTTATGAATGTGTCTGTGTAAAGAAGTTTGGCCTACACTTCCAACTTAAAATGAAACAAAACATTTTGTTCGTTGTTCTTGTTTCTATACTTTACCTTTTAGGTAGGCATCACTGGCAGCCCAACTGCTTAAAGTGAAGTGAATTTTTCCCTGACTCAATGCTTCCAACTTGCATGTGACACAGAGTATGGTTACAGGGCTTCCCACTACTACATTGGTACTACACTACTACATATAATACATGGACTGGGAACCCAAACTGGAGCAGCAATGGTTCATGCCTGAAGTCAGTAACTTAATAAATGCTAGTTCACACAAGCATCACTGAAAATGATCAAAACTACCTAAATATTTAACTAATATTTCTAATAGTTTAGTCACATCAATTAATCTGTCTATCAGCCTATATACTGTCGGTTTCGATGAATTTTTCTTTGGCGTAAAAATCTTGCCCTTTTTTTATTAAGATTTTCCAGATAGAGGTCCATGTTGCATACACTTGGGGGCTTGTTCACTTGGCTTTGCATATGCATGTAATACATGTATACATGTAATGTATACAGAGTTTGGTTTTTGTTCCTTTATAAGTAACATCTTTCTTAACTCTCGAATTACTATCATCAGTCCTAAATATATTTCTTTTATGCAAAGTAACTTTCAATGTTTGCTAAAAGTATAAGCCAAATTCAGGAGCAAAAGGCAATGTTTGGTTTACCTAATTGTTTGGTACAGCAGCATTGTACTAAACATGTATGCCAAAAGTCATACTTCTCCTTAACTTTGCAAGTTTCTATGTAAGTTAGAGTATCCCATCGTACATTAACCATTATCCTCCAAAATATACAAACTGGTTTGCTGGATCTTGACAGATTTAACTTTAGACAGATGAGCAAGATGACTTTTTGAGGGCCATGTTTCCTATTTGCTCAGTAAACAGAATGAGCTGTGAAGTTCCTACGCAGTGGTGAAAATTGGCTAATTCTAGAAAGGAGTATGTACCTGATTATTCCAAGCTTTGCGATATCCATCCCTACCACTCCACACATAAAGCCTAGAGTGAATTGCTACAGAGCAGTGGCCAGCTCTTGCCCTTGGAACATTATCCTCAAACACCTCCATCGCCAATGGCTCCCATGTCATAGTCTCTGTTAAAGAAGAGAAATCTGAAGCTAACTATTTATGTAATGGTTGTTATAGTGCTCATTTGGTATTCATTTTCTGCAGTGGAAATTTAAATTTTCGACATACATTACATGATGTGATTGCAGATGTGTGTCTAGACATTGCTGAATTTGACTCAAAAAGTCTTCAATGTTCTCTTTTCAAAATAGAATTTATGACTGCTAACAATTGCTGGCATGTACATGTACATTCTCTAATTAGATATTAAAAATTCTTCAGCATACATGTATATATAGATCCCTTCAGTTGTTTTTAATTCCTTCCTGTTTTAAGATTGATGGTAAACAATGTAACAATTTTTAATATCTGTCGCTGTCAACATAAATATTATCATGTAATAACAAAAATGCTGATTCAAGCTTATTTGTGTATGTAAAGATGTGTCTATCATGCAAATGTTTTTCCATGATACAGCTGCACTTTGACACCATTTTAAACATCAGCAGAAAAAAGCAGAACTCCAGTTTAACATTTCAAAAATAGAAATGTCATACATAATTCAATTGTGCTTCCCTTCAAAATGCTTTTCATTAGGAATAAACACAGTCAATCTATCATCTGCAAACATAAACAAATGAAACATTATTTGCATTTTTGGTACCAATGAGCAACTGTAATGATAAAATCCTCTAATTCATTGCAAGTTACAGGAAACTAATCACAGGTCCCCATCTCCCTTGAGCACAAACATGGATCTCTTCATAGGAAGATGCAATACACCCATAACAGGAAGTCTCTCCTTTGCCTGACTCACACAGCTCACATGACCTCAATACAAACCAGTCTCCTAAAAGCTCTTGCTGAGTTGTTAAACAGTGCATACATCCACAAAAACCCTTGGTTAAGGGACTTAAATAGATAAGCTAAAAGAAGTGTCTGCTGTTGGTGCAGCCTGCATGATTCCCATGTTTGAACACACTGTCTCATATTTATTATTCAGTTAACATTTAAAAACATTAAAAGTACAAAATATATGAAAATACTCCCCTTTTCTTTATTATAAGCAATCTTTGCACTCCGGGTTCCACAATGTAATAGATTTAAACTAATTGTAGGTCATCATATCCAATCCCACATGAGATTATTTACTGGGTATTATAGTTTTTCACTAGTCTAAAATTTCAAGACAAGAAAAACTCAACAATTTGATGTCTGAGATGAAGACTGAGCTAAGAGAGTTGGAGGAGTGAAAGCAAAAGCCAAGAAAAAAGCTGATTGTCTGAGACGAAGACAGGACCAAGATTTTGAGAGAAGGTCAAGGCCAAGGAAAAACTGATTGTAAATTCCCACAAGTGGTACAAAGTAAACTTGTAAAATTAACAGAAAGTCAACATTTAAATGTTAAATAATATACATTAAACTTGGCAAAAATGACATCCACCCCAGAAATGAGGTACTAAAGAAAGATTGCTGCTTTCTTGCTTCATGACATAGGACATACATGTACACGTATTTCAAAAATCTAAATGCAATAGAAATTGCAACACAACTTAAAAAATGGCATAACAGCTGTATAAACTACACCAACAGTAATGAACTCCAATTCACAGAGCATGTAAATTTAAATTACTGTCAATTGGCTACCTTGCTTTTTTCTATCTTAAAAAAGTTCTTACCTAGATTAAGAGAAGCCAGTGTACTAGTGCACTTCCACTCTTTTTCATGTGTAGCCACTTTGACGTCATCCATCACAAGAGGTACCCAGCCTCCAAATACATACATTCTACAAACATAAATGGTAAAATCGAGTCAAGGAGGACCTTGCCCACAAGGTAACCACTTAGGAGGATGGTAAAATAAATAGTCACTGTTCAAAGTAATCCATAGGTGACTACATTTTAAACACTTTAAATGTCAATGTTTGAATTTAGAATGAAGTGGATCCTACTTTACATTACAATGGTATTGGAACTTACTTATGGCCAATCACAGTTGCAGAGTGCAGACTCCGTGGGAGAGGGCATTGGCCGTTCAGTTCTGGTTTAATCCAGGTCATATTTTCTGTCAGAAAAGAAGGCCAAAACTAATGTGAATCATATCAATATGAACACAGCATGACGGTCATTCTATATGTAATAGTGAAGATACACTTGTTACTTCTTGGTTTAACCTTATTCACATGTCCTTATTTAAATTCAAATTATCCAAGTGCCCAAAACATCTGATAGGCACTAACTCATTAATCCATTAATCAGAGTAACATTGTAGATTTTTGTTTCTCCTTGTTCCAGGTAATTATTACGTTCTATTTTTTTTACATTTACGATCCTCACTTAAATTATCTTAGACAGCATTACAATTCCTGATGATTCGTTTCTTTTTGTAATTCCTTATCTTTTCCATCCCATGGCGTTCCTATATTTGTGGGCTTTTTTGAGAGTAGGGTAGGAGTCTAGGAGAAATGTTAGGTTTCAAAAATTAGCAGACCTTGAAAATTAAACTGCTTTAATATTTACCCTGAAACAAGTTTTTGGGAAAAGATATACATAGTTGGATTTTATAATGTTCCAAAAGTCAATGAAAAAGGCTTTTTTTTTTTTACTAAACACAAGGCCAGAAAAGTGTTACCTACCAAGACTGAGTTGCCAGAGGTCACCTAACCTACAGCCACTCATACCGCCATAAATAATGAGTCGTCCAGCATGACCCTTTCTGTCAGTATAAGAGACGCAAGTGTGTGATTCGCGGGGTGGGGGTGCTGCCCCATAAGTAATTGGCACCTCCCAGACCATGTTGCTGTAGCCAGAACGCAGTTCCAAGGAGTACAGGTCATTCAGGTATCTGCATGAGTGGTAAAATGAAAGAAAAACACAAGTTCAACATGGTTCTTCATGGATGCCTTCCATTCCTGTCACATCCTGCATTTGGCAACGATTGTGTGCAGATCTGAAGAGTGATCTCTCCAAAAAGAAACAGATTTACAGCATGGGCGTCAAGGAGAATCTTTAACTTATCACATACATGTACTAAGCCCCTCAGCCCTCCAGCATTAAGAGTCCATTTTATTCAAGAGTTTTTACAACTTAGTTAAGATTATGCCATAAATTTTATGAGAAGGGACCAACAAGGAATTGTTATTATTATTTTTATTATTATTTTATTTGTCATCATCACAAAGGGCAATACAAAAATACACAAAGAAAAGAAGATGACAGGAGCTGTGTAACTATTAATGTCAACCAAAAAGTTGCCCCCCCAAAAAGATAAATTTCCATTTATTTCCTACTCCTTATTCATTGATTCAGCCCAGTTTGTAAGGGTATGTCTCTTTAGAACAGACACTGTGTACATTGATTTGGTAATTTTTCCACTTAGTTTCATTCAACCGGCTTGTGATCTCCACCCTGTCTCACCTGGGTATATTGTTCTTTGGATCATCACTATCATTGGCCAATCCACCAAAGAGGTAAGCTTTGCTACCATGCAAGGTGAAAGTGTGGCCCAGTCGTGGGCATGGCAGTGGTGCATTTTTGGGAGGCTTGGGTTTCAACCGCCGCCATTCCCAACGACTAGCCTGAAGTTCATACAGCTCGTTGGAATATTTCCCATACTCAACCATGCCGCCAAAGATAAACAGGCGGGTACCATCACAGACAAAGCCATATGCTGCACATCCTGGTGGAATATCACCCCGAACTGCTGGGACAAACCACTGATTGGTAGCTGTGTATGAAGAAAAAATCAGGGAAATATTGACAAATCCTGCAATTAATTGATTTCGAACACAAAGGATACATGCATGACTGCACTTTTTGTGGAAAAAAGGAAAAACTTCAAAATGTAGTTTACCACTAGCATCATGATGCAGCATGTGGTCAATAACTGCAATGCATGGGTGCCACCCTAGCATTCCATGCATCACAAGTTTGCAGACAAATTTCAAATGCATCTTTTAGGGTACTGTACGATGTAGCTTTGTGGCTGCCAATATGGTGGGGAAAATGCAAATGTATGCTTGAAATCACACTCCTGATGGTAGATGATCAGCATAATCTTGACTCTTATGCATATTTGTTGTTCTCACACATGATATGATTATCCAATAAATGGATTTCTTCAAAAGGCAAATCAATTCAGGATGGAGTAAAATAAATTTGCGTAAGATTTCAGATTGTGCTGACCATAGAGCCTGTTTGTTTCACATGGATCTGGATTTTGACCAATGATCCTATGTTGGTTCACTTACACCAGAACCTGCCTAACATACCTAATGGATAGTGTGAACCAGATTTGGGATCACTAATCATTTGAAGCGAGTGAGCCTGTGGTAAATGTATAGTGAATTTTGAAAATACAGGTACTACAAAGTGGTTGCCATTTTGTTTTTCTGCCCCTAAAAGTTGCAATACCATTTATTATCCTGTACTGTTTGTAACTCAATCTTGAGTTGAATTGCGGCAGGCCTATACTTCATTTTCCTTTTTGATATTTCTGGCTCTGCCTCTGCAGTATAATTAAATGAATGACAACAAACATGACAGATGAAAATTTCTCATGGTCACTGATGGTGAAATTTGTAAGTAAGAGTTCCATACATGTATATGGACATCACTTATTTTCCCTGGCAGTGATTTGTGAGGAATTTCCATTTATAAGCCATCAGAAAGTGACAACATGCCGCAAAACTTGATTTTAGCTGTGAAAGTATTAAATCATTTACTTAGAAAACACTTAAAATTTTCCAGAATGAGATTCATGCAGGAAAATGAAAATTTTTCATAATGTGAGGGGGCTGCTGTCTTTCTTTTCTCTGCCGTCCACGCGAAAAAAATATGGCACCGGTTTGGCTGCACAAGCAGAATTGACTTTGTTGCTCAAATTTCTTCACTCACTCAGATATCATTTTCGATAAACGAGATATATGTAGATTGCCAATTAATATTGTACATATAAGTGTTTTTTAATAAACATAGGCCTACTTGAATACCTTGTTGACACTACTTGACGCTAAATAGCATGACCATGGAAGTCTTACCCTTTTCAGACTAGTCTCATAGGCCTAACTTAGTGTTTGTGCACAGGGTGTTAAGTGTGAAGTCTTTTAAATCCAAACCCATTAAGTGCATGACCATGGTGAGGCATCAAGTACATGTACCTGATCCACGGCCATGATGCTGGCAGTTTAGCCTAGCATGCCTTGCCCTCAATGCTTTTCAAAATTCAAAAAATTCCAAATGTTATTAAGCACATACCTGTATTATGTAAAGGGGTGACTTATTGCTGTAAATAGGATGAACAACTGTAGAGTTAATTTCAGTCTACTCCCCCCTGAAAAGAATTCTACAGCGCAACTATGCATATGTAACGTTATAATAAACAACGGGCGCCGCCATTTTGAATTTTTATAACATTCTTAAATGCAAAATGACGTACCTTGAATTGATAATTTGTTATATATTCAACTACTATGATACAAAATCAGACTATCAAACTTAACGACCGACAATACAGTCCCTGAAATCGACCAGAAAGTTAGGTAGCGTCGTTTTTTCTTCAAATGACAACAATGGGGCGCCATCTTGGATTTGGCGGACACCCGTCAAAAACACTGAGCTTACCTGTGTTGTAAACGTGCAACTCATCCACAATCCCTTCGTTCCCTCCGCCAAACACTACCATAAGGTCTTTAATAGCCACAGCTCGATGTCCATGTCGTGGTCTTGGACAGGGACCTGTCGTATCTGTTACACGCTTCCACTTTAGTATGGGTGCCGCCATCTTGTCCCTTACCCACAATGCCACACTTCACTTGAAAGTACCCGGATGCTGTAAACAGTGCAAAATTGCCTCTTTCGGTATGTTTATTTTTTAAAATGTAATTAACAAATATTAGAATTGAGACAAAAAAGCAATTTATTAAAACATATTGAAAAGTTGTAAAAAAAGATTTTTATTCTCAGAATATGAGCAATTTTTCTATTTATTAGTGTCGTTACATTTGAAACTTACGTCACTGGTATCCAGTAACCGTCTTTGAGTACCAGCTTCAAATGTGCGTGCAATTAGCTTGGACGAGCGCGGGCTCCTGTCAAAATAAATAAAAAAAAACCCAAAGCCAATCGCACTTCGAATTGACTTGGGCGAGTTCATTGTGGCTCTGGAGGGGGACGGATGTTGGTACATTAAGGATAAACAAACTGAAAAGCAAAAAGGTCAAAATTAAAGGATAAAAACTGGAAAAAGAAAAAAATGAGCCTCTTACTAAAACATGTTAGTTTCAGAGAATTTTTACGCCTCAATGACATTTTTTTTAAAATTTATTGGGAACACGTACTAGTGAACTCCGTTGTTATAATTGGTATTAGGGGTAACAGCAATTTAAATAATATTGATCGTAACTTAAGCCTCGTTATGATATTGTAATTTCCTTCGAAATAACCTACAGTTTATTTGAAGTACGTGTGTGCTTCATGATCATGTTCTATTTCTAATTTGTTCCATGTAGCACAGCTGGGATGTCATTTTAAACCACAAATGAACTGCGTGACATTTACTCGAGACTGGACTTATAAAAACTCATGTATAGGCGTACATCTACTAGCCTGCGGTATGGAGCACAAAAGTGGACAACCCAATCTTCTCGATACCTGCTACAAGTCGGGTCAATGGGTGAGGGAGTGAAGAAAATTTTTGTTTTTATTTTTCTTGTTTGGGGCAATGAACATCAGTGGTGGGCACCCATGGCAGTTTTTTTTGTCTGGTGCACAGAATTACAATTTCCTATCCGTGTTCAGTTAAAATTATGATGATTAGTTTTGAAGTTAATTTCAATTGAACACGGATAGGAAATTCTAATGCTAGTTAAGTTAATTAATTTTGTGTGGGTGTGTGTGGGCGGTGGATACAAAAAGAAAGAGAAGGAAAAATATCTCCCATGCCTGCTATAGCACCGCCACTAGACTATGCAGATTCTATTAAATTGACGGGTGGAAAGTTGAACAAATGGTAAAATCCGTAAATTTAAAAGATTAAGATGTCAATTCATCCCAGTGCCGCAGGTTAGGCCGGGCCTGAGGTTGCACACTAAAACTAGGCCACTATAAGCGGACTAACCCTGCTTGGATCCACGGACTCAGTGCCCGGGAAATGAGGAAGGCAGAAGCCACCAACGGCCAGGGACAGCGTTTTATTTCAAACATTACTTTAAAGATCTTCACGAAGTGTTTTTATTTGTGACTGCGGTTAACTTTTTTTTTTTACTTCATACTCATTGACATCTATAATTTGATTTTGGTGGGTTTACATCGCAAAGTTGGATGACTGGCGGCAGGCAACGTAGGCCCTATACCATTTTTTTATAACACCTTAATACAATCTGAATGAGAAATTTGTTGAAAATTTTCCAGCACTTCAAAGTACATGTACATCTTAATGTTTGAGCCCAGTAGCGTTAGCTCTTTGGAATGAGCGTGACTCGCAACGCACACCAGTATGCATTTTGCACATAAGTTTTCTGCTTTCAGTATGCGAGTTTGCACACGATGTCGGTCGTCACGCGTTTAGTTCGTTGGTTGCTTAGTAAAGGGTAAAGCACTTTGCTTGCAACTTAACGGGTAAAGTTGTGACAATGATGTGACTGGCTCTCGGCCAATTAAGATGTGGACGGATGTCTGTGGTGAGGCCCGTAATAGCAATACCTCCAGAAATCCTCGTCATCTGATTGGTGGATGGTTAATCACACTTTTATTGAATTCATTCTATTCAACGGTACACATTGAATACAACTTCATTTCACTTGCTTCCCCCCCCCCATTTAATTTAATTCATGCCCATAAGAAAGAGGAAAATAATGCAGGGGCGGAATCAGTCTAACATTGCACGATGCAGACTCGAATCTGTGGACGAAAATGACTGTTTGTTTTCCTAAGAGAAGATAATAACGATGAGGATTGTATAAAACAAATTATGAATGTTTTACATTTATTGCAATGGTAAGAATAATTCCATGAGGTGAAATGTTCCATCGGAGGCGTATCATGTACTATTTAACCTCCAACCATTTGTGCCATCGACATTGTGTGGAACGCATACTGATGTGCGCGTTGTTAATATGAGCGAACGGCAGTTCGGTCACCGTGACGGTTCGCGTTTTTTTAAACCCCCAGTGGATGGTCTAATATCAGTTCTCGACCAGCGATTGGGGTTTAGTTTTAGAACTTTGTTTTAGTAATTCTGCCTGATGGAAAGTAGACGTTGATAACCCAATTTAGCGGCATAATATAAAAACTCTGTTTTGGAACTTGAGTTCCGCGTGAGTGCGATCCGAGAGAGGAGCAACTAAACATCGGGACAATATTAATAAATTTGTTTAACGTTGCCGGGTGAGGATGACGTCAGTCCCTTGTCAGTGGCGAGCTGATGAACACTGTTAATATATTGCGTGACGGTGCAGTGGTAATATGGTCGCGGTACGCGGTACGTGTTTTACATGCGGCGAACCCACCCGGCCAGGCTACCACTTACCAGTCTTTGTACGCGGGATAAGTATGGCTAGGCCCTAGTTTTACTCCCCTTATGCCTATATTTGCGGTCTCAACTTCACGTTCCTTTTTCCAAAAACGCTAATGATGGTCAACGGTAAGTAATCTATTTTGATCAGCTGGATAGTCAGAAGAATACTCAGACATTAGCGTAGGCTTCACTTGTTGAATCATGGAGGAATAAAACACAAGTAACTAGTTCCTAACGAGTAACTAACGAGTATTGAGTAACGTCAGGCCTTATCAGAGTAGGCAACTTAATTAGGCCTTTCTTATTCGGATGCACAAGTTGCTGCATGGTTGGTGTGATGTTTCTCCCGGGATGCTTTGCCAAACTTTATGACACAGGTACAGAACTTAGCCTAGCCCTAGAACAAAATAACGGTTCAACATTGAACAGAACTCTGTCGTGTGACAAGTGATGTTTGTGTGTAGCTGGAGCGCTCAATCCAGGCCAGGACAGTCCAAACCGTGGGGATTGTATAGGCCTACTTAGACTTTTTGGAGACCCCCCAGTTTAATCTTGTAAAACTGGTAAGTCCCCCCCCCAAAAAAAGGCAACACTCTGTTTATTGTGCTGACCCTATTTTTTGGAAAATTTCGAATTGTCAATTGTGAGAAAATGTGACTTTCTTACTGATAAACTAACCGTGCAAATTTGAATCCATGTGTCATGTGTTAAAACACTCACAGTTTCTCCTCAAAATTTCCCTCAAAACTCAAAACCCTACCCTTTTTTTAACAACAATATCCTTACAGTTATTTAGCATGATCTCACAGTCATCTCCCAGGATGAATTCAAAAGTTAAAAAGTAGCTCTCCCTTCTATTATGGAACAGGGTCCCCAAATTTACAATCCCCAAATAGTAGCAGTGCAGTTTGGCTGGCCTCGACCTATACCACCTTTACTAGCTACAATGCAAGTATAATACATTGTAAATAGGATTCTATGTTTGCCTTTTTTGTAACATAACATGATCATTTTCAAATGTTACAAAAGAACTCAGCTTCAAATGTGTTGATTCACATTTTTATAAATCTTCTGTATTTGAAAAATTTGCTTCAGCTGAAAATACAAACCCACTAGGTACCCATGAGTTACTTGGAAACAGATGCAGGCACATCCTGTAGACATGTACATACATGTACAGTAGATGTACATGTATATCATGTTACTACTATCCATACCTAAACTGCGTAACTGCTTCCACAGCCTTTTAATATTTACAGTGGGTATAAATAAATTATTTTGTATGTCATGATATAGCATTTACTGATGATCTAAATTTTAGCAGATCTAAATTTCATAAGTTTGCATTTACTGAACAAGTGCTACATTTTTTTTCACCTTCCCAGAAGTCCGCTGAGATATTACCATGGGGACGAAAGAAGACTTTGAGGCCATTTTTGACCTTCTCGATCCTACATGCCGGGGTTTTGTGGATGCAAACCAACTGCAGGAGTTTCACAAAGCATTTCACTACACATCAATAAATGCTGATCAAATAGATGCTGCCATCAGTCAGGTATTCTTAAGGTTCTAGATAATGCTTCTAAGTTCATTATCTTCTTTTGCATCTTTCTACACACTATTTCCATGGGAAATGTGATGTGTTTGGTGCACCTTCCCTTACTTCTTTTCGCAAACAAGTTTACCATGCTCTCTTAGGTTGAATTCTATCGGTACATGTACATTTACATCCTTATGGTTTCCTTTCTTACCGTCTCACTATGCTTACTCCGTTCAGTCAGTTCCCAGTCTCAATGTATGTTTTTGTATTTTCTCGTGGGTTATACATGTAGTTGTTTTTGTAAACGTTGCTTTTCATATTAAGTGTGTGCTATTTCATTTTTGAATGCTTACAATCAAGTGTGTACTCTTGTTTTTATTGTTATGTAGTTCTTTTTTCCATTTTATCTTTATCTACATATCTAATTTTTAGTCTGTCTGATTGTTGATTATATATGTACACATATATTATTTAACTCTTGTTTTGTTTTGAATAATGTATCAATGCACAGATTTAGAATGTTATATATATTATGTTTATCCCATTCCTGTAACTGGCGATCCCTCTGCTGTTGGATGTGGTAAATAAATAAGTAAATGAATAAATAAATAAAAGAAAGTAATCTTTTCGACTGTGACAAGTTTGAAAAACAAAAACACTTTCTGAAACATACTGTAGCGTGGACTCAGGGGTTCTTATCCCTCACGACTGCTTAACAGGAAGAGGGAGCGGACACAGGATTTCCAACTAGAAAAACTGAATTTATTCACTACACAAACTCAGCGGACAACTTCACTGTCAGAACAACAGCTGGGTACATGACACTCAAGCTCTAAAAAAAAAAACACATGTCAAGCAATGTATAACATTGTATAACAATTCTTTAGGCCGCCTAGACATTTTGCCTAATTCCCTCCCGCGCCTCCCAAACCACAAGCATCCTAAAATAGAAGCCAATTTCCAGTGCGCACCCTGTACAAAAGAAACAGGTCAGGGCACTCCGCCAACGGCCCTCAGCACCACCAGCGGTGTACGATAGATTAACATGGCAATAAAAACATGTGAATAGGCTAAACAAATGTCTGTTAAAATACCTACACATAAACTATGTTATTTCTTAGGTGTGCAGTGGAGGAAACAGGTGTCCAAAGTTCTGTTTCCTTGATGTTCTTTTGGAGCTGGAGAGACGCCGAACTGTGGAAGAGCGGGCATGGTGGGACTTCCAGGCCTTGGATAGTCGAGGCAACCACCGCATCACTCCTCGGGAAGCCTTGATCCTGATGAAAGCCACCCACCAGGAACACTTCACTACCCAGACCTGGCAGGCATTCCTAAAGTCTCGTGATGTATCTGCCAATGAAGATGTAACTTTTAACGAGATAAGGATGTGGCTCTGTAATCCTCCTTTACAAAGTGGGGAGGAATGGGAGATGGAAGATATCACTGCAGAGGGAGAGAAGCTGGACAGAGAAAAGAGAACATTGGATTATCAGGAGCATAAGGAGTTTTTGGTTTTACAGGTAATATTATCCAGTACACATAACCCTGTGATAAGTTGCATTAGTCCAGTAACTTTGTCAGGAACTTTCCTGGAGCTGGTAGCTCTCAGAGGTATATGTAATGATTACAGATTTCTTTGTAACAGGAATAATGAGTTGGCAACCAGAAGCAACATTACCTAAACTATTAGTAATCAAGCCATCTTAAATACAGTCGACTCTCGGTAATACGAACTCGGGTAAGACAAGACTCTGGTTTAGACGAGCATATTTACCAGTCCTGACTTAATTGTGTACATTCCTGTGAGGGAAAAAATGTGTAATACAAGCTCGGATGTTACAAAATTTCGGTTAAGAGGAGCATTTCTTGCACACCAGCTGAGTGCAAATCTATTGTTTTCTGTCTACTTATCACAAGCTTTTTTGAAGGCAACTTGTCAATCAGCCAGTCCATTCAATTTTGAAAGGCACTTCCGTAATTTATGTGTATACAGTAGAACAGCACTGCGGTTTTCCCTCACTGAATCAAGCCATTTGTGTCCAGTGCTGCAAGAGAGACGAACAATGGACGTTTGCAGTTCCCGTACCCACCCAAAAGTGCTACAATATTTAGGATAGTGGTGACCAAAAGAAATCTTTTGTTTGATTTCCCCACCCCTTAAAAAATTCCCTAAGACCAAAGTCCCCACAGGAAACTAATAAAAATTGTGTTCTGTAACCAAACACCTGGCCCTAAAAACTGCCCTTCTGCTGTACACACCACCAATAGCTAGTTTCCTCACATTTTTATGTGCAACAAGGGCAGTTCTGGTGTTGGGTACCATAATACAAGCTAATTAGTAAGTCCCAAGGGCCTTGTGTTAACGAGAGTCGACTGTACAGTGTTATTGAGAAATCTTAAACACCATTTTCTGTCAAAATCTTGTTTGAAGTTGCCCAGATAAGCATTTTTGAAGCATACCCAGACTTTTTAATTGTAAAAGTTGTTTTGGGGATTGTTTTTAACAATTCTTATCAACAGGAGGATGAGTTGTCACAGACTGTGGACGCACAAGATAGACAGTACTATCAAAATAAATTCCGTAGCAAGGCAAAGCGCAAGCTCAACCGGTGAGTGTTTCATCATAAGTAAGCCTTTTTATACTTAACTTGAGTGCTATTTTTGCGTAGTTTGACTTGCTTTTATTCAACCTGGAGTTTTGTTTTATCTAACGATCTGTTTATTTTGACAACTTTCCTTTTTTGACCATTTTTCAGTTATAGTTGTGTCTTTTATAAATTTAAACTTTTTCTGGTTGGCATTGTAGAGTTTTTCAAATTATGAATTTAAAAAATTACTCAAAAGTACTAAGAAACAAATTTTGGAGGTAGAATAGGTCTCAGAAAAATACATAGCTCATGTATTAGTTATTTCCGTGTTAGGGGAGGTGATGAGATGTTTCAAGATTTTTTTCTGCTTGATTTGTCCCAGTTGGGTAAATCTTGGTGTGGAGGCACTGATCTTTGATGATGGCAAGGACTATGAGGTTGACTACAGGATGCGGAATCGTGTTACTGTCCAGGATCTGTTAGAGGCACTGGAACAAAAATATGATATCCTTAGAGAGAAGCTGCTTTGGGAAGCTGTTAAAAAACATATTGGTAAGAAGTTAGAATCTTTTACTGTAAACTTTAGTTTTAGAAAATGATAATACTGATTGAAATCAATAAAAGCTCATTGTTTTGTTGGAATATGTTTTTGATGCTACCCTTTTTTCAAATTTATCTAGGGGATCCTATTTGGTCCTCCATGTCAGAGGGAGAGCAGCAGGAACAAGTCCTCCGTGTCCAGATGAAAGAGCATCAATTGCGACGAAGCAGTGACCTAGATCAGATCTCACGCCTGGTCATCTCTTACCAGCATTATGACTCTAGGCTGGAAGCTATGATAGGATGCCTGCGCAGTGAGTTTGAACGTCAGTCCATGGACCATCAAAGCAAAGTTGCTGTACTGCTGAATGAGGGAAAGACAGAGGATCAGATTTACGAGATATTTGCTAATGAGTATGCTCAGAGAGTGCAAGGTATTAATCAACATTTCTTCCACTTCTGTTACTGTACCTGTAACTACTATATTTTTTACTGTAGCTACCATATTAGCCACTGAGCTATTGTAACTATCATGGCAGCTAATTGTAGTTACTATACCTCATAAATATTCATGAGCAAATTGGAGCACGTCATTGGCCAATTCCACCTTGCATCAGGGAAGTAGAATGATACGCGACTAGGTGACGTCATAGTGGTGAGTATACACCTCACTGCTGTGCGGTAGTTTTTTCTGCTAGCATCAAAAAATCCCTCTGGAACCTGCTGCTTATATATGTAGTCTGTGTCATGTAGTCTTTACGGAACCAGTCTGGAGTTGCATCCTAATAACTATTACAGTAAAGACCCCAAACGTATGTCAGCACCAGACTGTTGAAGTCCTGTTTCAATGCATATCTACACTCCACTATCATTACATGGAAATTTAGCAGCTAAGAAAAAACAGTGGCGTGAGATTTCTGTTTGAATTATTTATGAAGTGTAGTAAAACAAATACAGCATGGTTTATTTTGGGAAAATAGTGGGAATTACTGGTCCCGAGGTGTAAGTCAGTTTCACGGAGGGAGGGAGTCAAACTGACGTACACCTCGGGACAAGTGATTCCCACTACTTCCCCTCAAACCATGCTGTGTTTGTATACTACCGTATTGGTTACTCTAGCTTCTATTTTGGCTTCGGCAGTTTTTATGCCCCCCAATGCTGTAGCCGCCATGTTGGTTACTACTCTTACCATACTAGCCACTGAGCTGCCATGCTCCTACATACAGCAGAGACCATGTTGGCTGCTGTATAGCCTCCATTTGGGGTATTGGAGCTACCTTTTCAGATAAATATAGCTACCATATTGGTCTCTGTAGCTACCTGGTAGGCCTCTGTAGTTTTCAAGCCCCCATGCTGTAAAAACTACTGTGTTGGCTTCAGTAACTTCCATGTTTATGTACCATGTTGTCACAGGTGGTGTTTACTTGTTCTACCTCAAGGCTACTGCACCTCAGATTAAACCTCTGAAACCTTTGACATACCAAGCTTTACAGCAAAGCAATTTCACTTTTTTGTTAGGAGTAACAACATGTGGGCAGCTCCTTATTGATCTTCACAAGCGCTACATGAAAGAGCGTGAGTTTCTTCTGTCTGTACTCAAGATGGGGAACCGTAGGGCATTGACCTCTGCTGAGATGATTACTGAGTATGCATCCCTTGCTGCACAGCAGCTGATTGCCTCCTACGAGGGCGAGTCATTTGAGTATTCTTCAATGGCAACGGGACTTGCTGAACGCCCACAGCAGTACATGTGCCCAGGGTGAGTTATTGTAAAGCATCTTTACAGAGTTGCAGAACTTAATAAAAGTCATTGAAAAAGTGCTGTTCTGAAGCATAGTTGCAAATGGTCGACTTACGCTAAGTGCTGCTTGTAAATTTTAAATGTTGCTACTCTGTAACGACACTGGGGTTTCCCTCATGTTAAGAAACTTCCATAGTCATTGGAATTTGCGCTCACCTTTGATCCAAGTTTTTGATGACAGATGCCATAGAGTCCACGTAGAGCCACGTTGGAGGGAAAAGTGGCCTAGCTAACACATAGGATTTATCTTCTATATTTCTATTGTGGTTTTTGTGTGTGAAAGTGTGTTAAATGTTGTTGAAAATGTTTTGTGAGACTGATGTAAATTAGGTGCACATAACATGCTGATTTTGCAACAGGTGGAAGTGTGTAACTTGTCTTGCAGTTGTACATGTATCTTGCTTTTTGGATCTGTAAGGACAGCATTTTGTTATTTATTGGATTATGAACATACATGTAGCAGGAAATTTCGCATGGTCTGAGGACGGGAAAAAATTTTACAAAATAAAACTCTAAAGTTCTGTTTTCCCCATACAATTAACTCATCTAGGGTCAGAGGATAAAAAAGTTATTTCAGATAATTCTTTTCTAAACACTAAAAACAGTCAGGAAAACATGTTAATTTTTTCATGATTTTTCTGTTGAAAATGCATTATTGGAAGTCTGTGGGTTTGTTCTCCCTCTGCAATTAGCCAACTTACCACCACCATTCTCAGGAACAAACTTTAACCCACCTGGGGCTTCAGTAAATTTATCTGCTTATTGCCAAATTAGTTCTTGTTTGGGGTTGGAATAGATGATAATGATCAGACATATTGGCATTGAAGCAGCTTAAGAACAAATCAAGACAGTTTTGAAAATTTTTTGCTTATGACATATATAAAGAGCTTAAGATGGTGAATTAAATTATGCTCTCTTAGATTTGACAGCGATCGAGATTTAAATGAGCTGCTTGCTTTGGAGAGACTGCATCGGATGAAAGGACGCAGACCTCCCAAAGTGATTGATGATGATGGCCATCTGATAGGCAAGAATCGAGGCATTGTAGCCTGGCAGGTGGAGGTAGTCAGACAACTCTTGAAGAAACACAGCCATGAATGCGAGGTACAGACTGAGAAATAATAATTTGGATTGTCTCATCACTTACCGTGTTTTGGTTGGCAGATGGTGTGTAAGGAATATGAGTTATTGTGGTTATGTGTGCATGAAGACCTTGTATCTACATGTATGGATACAAATGCTTCTTTACGTGTAAGGGTATTAGTAATTTTCGATCAGTGATGCATTTGCTACATTTATCTTGACCTTACTTTGCTTGCCTGTCATGATTAGGTCACACAGTGTCACCAATAGTTTTCACACAGAGCCTACCAAAATGTCATACATGTACTTCAAAATGATACAAAATGGTACATGTATAAAGTAAGTTATGTTTGCAAGTGTACATCTACATGTAAGTGAGGCTTGAAAATTCTTCAAAGCAACTGCTGCTTTAAAGCATTCTGCTGATAATGGTCATCATTAAGTTTCACTTTTCTATACAGTCGTGCATTACCATTTCCTCCGTTATCTTTGAGCAAACTTGAGACTCAAAGATCTATTTTAGGCTTTAAAAATTATTGATAACTTACTGACACCTTTCATGTTAACCTGTCCTGTATGCCTGATATCTGAGGCATAAATATCAAAGTCCGCTTATAAATAGACATTTCTGAATAATCTGCCAAGAGTTAATGATGTGCAGATAATTCAAAGAGAGCTTAAAGAAGGCTGCTGTGATTACAACTTCCTTATTTAATCTTTTATGATGTATTGATTTCCCCTTCAGTCTGAATCCCAAGATTATGATATAATTATTTGGTATACAAGTATTTAAGTGTGTTGATTTTTGATTGGTCTTTAGGTTATGATCTATCTCCTGCAAGGCAAAGAAAGTGCCACTTGGCTCTCTGTTGCCCGACGGAAGAGCCAGGAACATCGTGAAGACAGATTAAAAGCGTTGCGACTACAGCGTTCCAACTGGCGTCAAGGCTCCAAAGAGCACTTGGTCTCTAAAAGGACTGTACATCTCAAGATATTGTTAGAAGGCACAGGTCTCTATCATGAAAACAGGTACACTGTGAATTGGAACCCCAAATCACACGTTGTCACTCCAGTTATCTTCCGGCTCTTCCAGTGGTTTTCATTTCTAACATGTGCCATGATCTTGCTAAAGACAGGAGCAGTCCAGAGTGCTTAAACAGTGTTTGAAGTAGACAAAAATCTTGTGAAAAAGTCTGATTGTTGATGAGCAATAATGGAGGTGGACATATGACTGAACCATTATGTGCACCTTTATACTTAAGTTAATCCATTCCTATCAATTTGAATGGGAATTACAGAGTAAGTAATTGTTGCACTTGCATGCAGTATTTTTAGACCTAGAAGTTTGTGTGATGTTGAAATGTACATCTTTTGTTATGTGATATGAGAGTTGTATTTGAAATGGTCTTTATCTCACCAATCATCAACATAGTTGTCAGTTGTCTTGATATTCAGGTCTATTCTTTCTATATGCAGACGTACTGAGATTCGTGGAGGGCACAACTTCACTGATAATCAAGTCTCTGCCTGTGTGCTAGCTGACTTGCAGCAAAAACAAGCACAAGAGGTAGAGAAGGTTGTGGTAGAGATGCAGACAATGGTGAGATAAATGCTGTGGACCTCCAAGCAATTTAATCTGTCCCTTTTTTCAAAGCTGATTTTAGTGTAGACAACATCTGTCCAATTTCTGCAGGCGGATCAATGCACAAATTGATTGTTAAAAAGAATATGTATGTAACTGGTTATAATACAGTAAAATTTTGATAACTCAAAGGTGGTTAAGTCTAAACTCATTTTATCTCAAAGACTTACGTGTACTTTATTCCCACCAAAAGAATAGGCTTTTATGCACCAAAATACCTTTGTAATTTTAAATGCCCACACTGCGACATCTGCTCATCCTGATGTTTATCTGAAGCCATTCTAAAAAAATAGCCATCAAACAATCTCAACAAGTATGGAAAAAAAAAACAGGAGACTTTAATAATGAGTCTCCACTGTCAAGAGCACTTCGCTTTGTGATCGACTAGTCATAATCCACCTTTTTACCTGAAAGATGTTTTTGTCATAAAAAGTGGGGGGGGGGATTATCAAATGAGTGACTTGCACAAGTGACAGGTGCTGTGAATGACCAGAAATGGCATTTTAGCATTAGTCACTTTTTGTTTGTGCTAAAACAAATCCTTACAAAGTATTTTCATGCATCATGAAGCTGTCACATGTTGTTTCAATTATGCACTTTTGAATATATATCCAGCAAGAAATGAGACTGAAGGGTACCCCCAACATGTCCAATTGTTACACACACTATACAATATTGTTACCAAACACATCCCCCCTCAGTGTTTGAAAAGAATTCCTCAAATTCCAGTGAAACAATGACGAACACAAAGCAGGGGGGTCCTGTCTGTCTCATATCTTGCTTCATGTGATTAAATATACTAACTCTTTAGTCTACATTTTTCTTTGTAAGACTGCTGACATTCTGAAGGAATTATGGAGGCGTGAACACCGTTCAAGGACTGAGGAATGGTTGGACAATGTATCAGCTGTCATTTTATCAACAATTGAACTCACTGAAGAAGACAAAGAATTGGTAGAAGCACTGGAGGCAAAATATGATGTTTTGAGGTTTGTGGATAGTCACTTTATGATTTTGAAATCGTGCAAAGTTGATTCCCTATTTGCTGCAAGCAGACATGAGAGAGGTCGTTTTTTATCTGGAAATGACTGTCTTTTGGTCAGAACTAAATGTGTGCTAGCACAGGTTCCTGCACATTTGGCTTGGAACAGTTGAGTTGGTATGATCAATTTCTGTTTGAATGTATGGTCTTTGCTTTTGCACCAGGTGTGTGCGCAAACCACATTTGAAAATTGCTCTCCTGCCAGCTTCCTTTTTTGCCATTGAAGGTATACTTTAATTCAGGGCAAAGAGCGAATTGCTTGAGATTGCCCACTGTACTTAAGAAAATTTGCGTTGCCTGTAATCTATTAACCACTTGCTGCCGGGGAACCCCATTTCGAGCACCATGGTCTTATATGCGGAGCCGGGGGGCTTGGAATGGGACAAAAGAGCTGGTCCATGTAACTAAAGACCGTACTTGGAACAAAAGACCTGCTGCTGGAAATTGACATCATTTTTCGGCTTGCATTTTTCGAAGGTAATCCGTCACTCTTTTTAAACAGTATACCACTGTTTTGGGCATAGTGCATTGATGAGTGACACAGCACTGCTGCATGCTAATTCAGCCATGTTTGAAAAGACACCACTCGCATTCACTGGAGACAAAGGAAATTATGCAACACCTCACAATTCTGGGCTCTCTTTACAGGGCGGCAGGCCTGGCTGAAATATTCAGGAGCCAATGAAGGTTACCTGTCAGCTTTGAGTAGCTACCAAACAGTCATTTGTGTGGGTGTAAACGTCCATTAAATGAAATGATGAATTTTTGGAGAATTTTGAAAACTGAAAATCTTGAAAATCTCCTGTATGTGTACACTGCATTTAAAAAGCACCCAGCAGCAAGTGGTTAAGTACGTGGTTTAAGTACTCTTCAAGGTACTGGAGCCAATTGGCCTCAGCTAAAAAAATCCTGACTGCTGCTGATCTACTCAAGCACATGTTGATTACAACTAATTTTAATCGGTTTGAACAGGGAGAAAATACTGACAGACCAACTGATGAGAGAGTTTGGAGAGTCTCAGTGGTTGATGATGTCTGAGCAGGAGCGTCAGCGACTCCTGATTAAGAAGAAGATGGAAGAGCGGCAGCTTAGACGAGAAGGCAAAATGGATGAGCTGGCACGTCTCATCAGTGGTGCTGATAAGGTTCGTTCATTCATTTTTCATTTACGTTGTCTTACAAAATTATGCTATGAAGATATAGTAAGTTTACTTTCAGCTTGTGAATTTTCTTGTGACAAAGTGTAACGTAATTCTTCATTGTCTATTTTAACCATCCAGTTTTGTATTTGTAATTTATTTCACCATCCTTATTTTACATTAGTAGTCTGTTTGCAACCCCAGTTTGGTTCCTAAACCAGCCGATTGCATTCTGCCATTCGACCCCCCCAAGCCACCTGTTTACATTTTTTATGGTATACCCAAGTCAAACTATTGACTTTTAATAATATTTTACAACAGGGCAATTTGTCATAAGCACTTGCAGTTTCGGGGACGTGACTTGGATTTCCCCTTCATTAAGCAAATGATTTTACAAATGTACAGGCTTTACATATTAATTTGAAAATTTCAGGTTTTTCTATAAAGTCATTTGAAATTTTCATACCAGGATAGTAAACATCTCCAGAAACTGATGGGAAAAAACCGTGAAGAATATGAGAAACAACTAGCTGCACGTCTTGCTCGTAGGGAGCGTCGTCGGGCCATGGGGCTGGACTCAGATGAATCAGATGAGTCAGGTTAGTGAGATGCTTTGTTTGTATCTAATATAACATTTTGCTTTTTGTGGTTTTTTTAATTTCCTCTTGTAGCACTCTTTGGACAACACAAACTGTGATGAAAATGGTAGCTTGGCCCTAGACGGTACCACTTTGATTTTATTGCCCGTGCATGTATTGACACTGTTGTGCTAAGAGAAGGAATTTGAATTGACAGAGGACGCAATTTACAGGATGATGAGTCCTGTATCTGTAGTGAGCAGTGAGCCACTCAAAATACAGTTTGTTGATGTGCAGTGTCTCTGCTTGTCTGTTCACTTTACCACTAGGAATAGACCAAATGCGCCCGCTAAGTCACATGACCTATAGTGGATATTAATTACATGCATCATCAAACAGGGAGTCCACCAAAACTAAAGTGTTTCACAAGTATCATTTACCTAAAATAAAGCTGACAGTAGGTACCCCACTCAGATTACTGATGTGCTAGGTACAGTACTATAAATTGGCTTTATTGTTTGTAAACAACACTCTAACACATGTTGCTTTGGGGTTGATACCTACTTTAGGTCATGTGATCTACATGTAACTGGTGCAATCGGTTTATAGGCCTATTTCTCCCTCTGACTGGAAAATGAAATGTGAATGCTGAACAAGAAACTGAACATGATCAGTAGTCATGATGAAAATAATGTAGCAGTCAATATGAACATCTGCAGTGCACAATTACAATGAGTGCCCGTTGTTGCACCATATTTCTTTTGTTAGATCTTCCTAGTGAGTGTATCTCAAAGACATCTTACAACACTACACAGCATTTTAAATGAAAATTTTGGACTTCAGAATTGGTATGCCATTTGGTTTTGGTAGAATGATGTCACAAACTAACACGAATTATGCTCAAACTTAGGTATCGATTTGATCCCCAGGAATACTGGGAGAGAATTACAGAGATGTGTTGGCCCAAACACTATTATGCTTTTATGAAGAGAAGAAGGGGAAAGCAATAAAAAAGGCACAAAGGTCCTGGAACCTAGACTAAAAATGGCAGAAAAACTGACATAGATAGAAATGGGAAGTAACCAGTTTTGTTCGGCGTTTGAAACGGAGAAGTTTTGCATTCCAATCAAGACTCTGATAATGCTGTTTCAAATAAATCAAAGTTTCTAACATTTGATCTCCAACCAAATATTCAATAGCAATTTGCTGGGCTGGTTTGAATATTTGAGAAAAAATATAGTTAACTCTTCTTATTACCAAATTCACAGGACCCATTAAAAAGGTCCATTCCACCATAATTTGGTGTACGCAGTGCAGTGGATTCCGATGCTTAAATCTCATTTTTTACATGCACCGACATGAATGTGCATGATGCCAAAATATAATATAATATTTATGTTTAATTAATCAAATCCGGTGTAAACACTTTGAAATAATAAACTTCAATGTATGTACATTTGAGACGAATAAAGGAAATAAAAGCGTCATTTTGATCTGCATGGTCAAATGAATCCGCCCATTAGTAATCTTTCTTGTACAAATTGTTTCATTTCTATTTTACTGTCTGTCTAGCATTTAATTTTTGATTAGTTGAACAACCATGATTGATTGATTTTTGAGTTTATCACCCCCATGAGATGTTGCTGAAGGAGTACGATGTTATAAAGGTTCATTGTGATTGGATAGTTGTGTCTTCAAAATGTAGATGTATTGAGTGCATGTAGATGTGAGTGCACAAGCTCATTGGTGGGAAGGCAGGCATGCGTGTTTTTTTTACTAATAATTCTTTTTGATATGAATAATTCAGTGATTGGTTTATCCGTTCCTGTTGGGTTCCTACTGTAAAGATCATTTATTGTTCTGATATTATTTTGACCTTGGGGCTGGAGTAGATCTACCTTTTCTTTCCTAGAAACTAACTAAAAGAGGTTGAAAAGAGCTAACTTACCAGGTATGTGGGGTGTGTTCTTGTATCGGAGGAAGCGAATGAATTTTATTGTGGTGCAGGGGTCGTGATATTGGGTTCTTTCAGATTACTGCCTTTCTTTTAACCCTTTTCTAATTTTTTGATCTCTTTATTATATGGGAAGTGGTAAGAAGAAGTCAGCTGTCTTGCCCCTTTTGTTGCAGGGAATTACGCTGATCTCAGTGTTGAAGGATTGTCTATAGAAAAAAACAGCAAAATGAGTTATTGGTCTTAAGGGTGCAGTTTTTAACGGCCATGAGAACTGTGCCTGCTCGCGTAATTTAAAATTACAAATTTATTTTGTTTCTAAATGTTATAGGCCTGTCATGAACCTTGCAACATGAAAATAATTGATTTGCGGGTACATTGAGTGAAATGGTTCATCACCGATAGTGTGTGAACATTTATTATCATATTAATACTTTACCCAAAGCACTCGCAACTGAATTTCAAGTTGTCTCATTATTGGAAACATTGTGAAAAAAATCGAAATCTGTCTGGTGATAAAAGTGAGTCACATGCATGATATATCAAAAGCCACTATTTACAGTAGTAAACCAGCAAGTCAATTCCTGCAAAAACTTTATCAATGTATCTGTGATAATCTTTGTACCACGAATACACATGAAGAATAATATCAACCAGTGCTTTGTAATACCAGTTATTGCTCTGCAAAACATTTACAAGCTTTTCCTGCAACTTTTAGCTAGTACTGTATGCAGTTTAAACTGGTGCATAAAAAGATGATCAGTGAGTTTTAAATATTTGAACATTATAAGTCGAATGCAGTTTTAAATATTCGAATACTGAATTATTAAAAAATGAAAAGGACACTAGACACTGAAGGTATCGCGGTTTTGAAGCTCAGTTTTCAAGTGGCTATGTTGAGAAAGATGTCATTTTTTTAATCATCCAGGTTTAACAGTGATTAAAACAATGATTAAATTTTTGATTAAATGTATCTTTATTATTATATCTATGTTAACAACTTGTATTTTTGCTTTGTGTACGTAGATTCAGAGGAAGCAGGTACTACTGCTGGCCATAATTTATTACTGGACCTTCAGTCTCGTTATAATGAAGACATGGATGCCTTGATGGCTTTGCTGCGACGTCAACAGGGCAACGAAATGAGTGAAAGGGAGAGACAGGCATTACTACTCCGATTGAGGAGGGAGAAGAGACGGGCAGCCATGGAGGATAACTTTGATGAGGCAGCACTTCTCCTTGGCTTGGCTGAGAGGAACAAACTCAATATGGAAGAAAGGTTAGTACTGAAGTACAACCTGCAATAATTATGACAAGTTTTATGGACAAGAATCTTGTCTGTCACTGTGACAGTAATCTGGCATGTCACAGTTCACTGAGAAGTTATGCATACTTTGGGCTTCAATGGAATCTCATAAGAAAAACCATCGGCATTCTCTGGTTGGATTCTAGCCCAAAGCCTCAAGCTTACTAGTGAGGATGGCAGGCAACCTATGTAGATTCAAATATGAAATTGCAAAACTTGATTCCAAATATTTTACTTTTTAAATTTACCAACTAAATTGAGGGTTGATTTTCACATAACCAGTAGAGAAACTAAATGTTTAGACAAGCCTGTGGTTTAATTACCCATTTAACTCTAATGTAATACATGCAGAGATGTTCTAGTCCATTAGGCCCCTACATGTATGTGTTAATGTGAATTGTATATTTGCATTGTAACCTTTCAGGATGAAAGCTGATCGAGAACGTCAGTTGCTGTTAGCAAGAGAACGTTTAGGAAACCGTCAGCGTCGTCGAACTGAAGGGAAAGAAGAAATTGGCAACCATGAGGAACTTTCTGTACCTGCTGAAGGTTAATTTAACATTTAGCTCAAACTTTAGATGCTAGCTATAAGGAAAATTTTGCTTCTTCGGATTTCTTGGAACTTCCTGAAGCTTATACTTATGAAAAGAGGAAAATAAGTTCTTTTACAGGGAATTTAGCTACAATAAAGACAATTCAAGTTTTAGAACTCCATCAGTTCTTTGTGAGTACATATATTAGACTGTCACAAAATATGACTGGAATTACAGGTGATATTAATGGTTGGCGTGAGACTGTCCTCAAGGAGCTGGACCGTAAGCATATCCTGGAGAGGGAACTTCTACTGACTATCCTGACTGATGAAGGCAGTGAGGAGTTAAGAGATGCAGCCAGACAGATGGTACAGAAAGCCAGGCAAGAGAGGTTGCAGGAACTCAAAGAAGAGGCAGAAAAACTTAACCCTGACAAGAAAGGTAATGTGGATCACAAAACAAAGAATCCAAGGCACTTTGAAGTTAACTCTATAGAGTGATGATTGTGTTCCATAACCTTGGTAGAGGGACGAAAAAGGATACTTTGTAATGTAACCAGTATTATTTGAGGATATTTGTTGATTCAAATATGGCACAGCATTCACTTGAGTATTACACATCTGAAATGCATAAATCTGTTGCATTGTACAATTTGTTACAATTTTCAGGAAGAGACAAAGTCGTCCCAAATAATTTTTTATATCAAATTTCCTTTTTTTTTTTTTTTCCAAATCAACTAGGCTATGTGATGCCTACATCTTGGTGTAATCATTCTTACCAAATTTACTGAAATCAGCCAAATAAAGATGATATCTGAGAGGCAAAATTCAACTAAATAGTATTTGTCATTTTCACAGAGAGACAAAATTGTCTTTCATAGATATAGCATTAGTAATAAAGGGCAAAGTCTCTTCGCTGCTTTGATGAGACAAATTTGACACTGGAAATTTATACAAATTAACAATTTGCACCTGGCATGTGTGCCGTTTTCCCAAAGAGACAAAAGTCACATCAATTTTAGCATTTTCACAAACAGAAAAAAGTGTCTGTTTACAAAGTACACAAATTTAATCGACTTCTAGAAATATTGTAGTAGTAGGCATGAACAAGATGGACATGATACCAAAATTGTCCATGGACAAAAACACCCTGTATCGACAAGCTACATTATAACTAACACTCTATGCGTCGTGCGGTGCCTGGCTTTGCGTGGAACCACAGCTAAGAACAGTTGGATCCAAGACTAAGCACTGCTGTGAAATCAACCATGATCATGTCAAGTGTGCGAGCACCACGTGGTGAATTTTTCACAGAATTTTGCAGTGAATCAACATATTCAGGAGATGAAAAATTATTGTGGACCATTTCAGATGATGTAAACTCTTGTTGAAATCAAAATTTTATGGAAGAGGTGAGTGCGTGTGGTACTGTACATCATCACGGACACGGATTGGACTCTTGTACAATGCAGCACCGATTTTTACTTGTTCATGGTAATACTGGGAATATTCTGATTCTTCATGAAAACTTCTGAATTTTGGGGAGAAGGATTCCGAATTCTTAATAGCCAATGTTAGGAGGTCTATACCTCTGACATTACTGTGCTGAGTGTTGCACTGATGTTAATATAAGCAACATACTCAAATGTATGGCCAAAAATAACTGTAGGCTGGAAACCTAAACTTATATTTACCAGAAATGGTCCCATCAGCCAGAAATAGTCACATCAGCCAGAAATAGTCACATCAGCCAGAAATAGTCATGTGTGAATGCAGTGTAAATCAAACAGAATTAGACTTGTTCAAATTAAGGCTATTTGTTGTTGTGACAGCTGTTTGTAATATATTGCAGAAGAGAAAGAGGGTCATCGAGACATTCTTGAAGAAGCTGGTGCCATCAAGAGCATTCTGAGGACCATAAGTCTAACAACCAAGAGACATGGTCAAAAGGTTGAAATGGATGAAGTCCACGCTAGTATTTTAGCTGACCTCCAAGAGGAACAAGAAAGAGAGAGTGAAGTGGTTATGGCTGGCCTTGTCTCCATGGTAATGATCTGAAGCCGGTTAAAGGCACAAATTATGTATTATTTATAGATAATGACATGAAAGTGTTAATATCCATTTTTACAAGATGGTACTCATTTTGCACTTGATCAAGAACCCCAGCTTCAGCATATATTTGTACGTTTGGTATTTAGTTGTATTTTGTCTTTGCATCTGGTTTTTACTGTAAGGGGCTTGTTTAGGGTTGGATATATTACCACATGTAAACAATGAATAACAGATGAATAACCACATTGTATATTATATTTCCAAAGTTTAATCACTTGCGAATCACTTTGAATGGACATCGTATGATACCAATTTCCTTAACACAGAAAGGATTTTAATGGACAGCATATGATCAGCCAAAATGTCACTTTACCTTTTACAAACAGCAGATACTTGATGTGGTATTCTTTTTTTATTCTTTATTTACCAAAATTATTTTCTGTGAAACAGTACCTTAATTTTATAGTTCTTATGGTCATACTCGTGTAGAGTGAGGAAGAGTTGTCCAAGATGCGTATAAAGCAGATATGGGAGGTTAAGATGGGCATTGGCAAGAATGTTCTGAATGTCTTCACCCAATATGAAGGAGCAGCTGAAGACGATGCCATCTTAAAGGTTAGAGTTTTGATCAACCCAGTAATTTTCATTGACACTGTATGCATCCCTGGGCAGGCCTCATTACAGAGGCTTTGCAGTTGTTAAAGCAATTACCTGTGAAATTATGGTATGCAAACATGCATTGTCTGAAAGTCTGCTTTTCATATTTATCAAATTTTGTCAGTGCACAAAACTTGTAATTTGGATTGGTTTGGAGCACTAAAACACTGCCTGGTTCTGGATCAGGCTTCAAGATTCCTTTGAAATAGTGTCAGCATTCTTTTAATAACAATTCGTGTGCTTTTCTGTTGTTGCCTTCATTGTTCATTCCCTAAAGGCTCTGGACAAGAAGTACGATGCTTTGAAAGACAAGCTGCTCATTGACATATTGCGGAGTCATTTAGGAGAGAAAGAGTGGGCTAGAATGAAGGAGCAAGATAGACAGAAGAAGCTCTTGGACCTAAGACAAGAAGAAAGAAGACTACGCAAAGAAGGTATCATACAGATGTCTTTCTGTAGGAGTTACTGTAGGTTCAGGTATTCTGCTGTTGTTGGAGCTTCCATATCCAAGGGATAATTGACTATGGTGATAAATAATCGTGGCCTGGGGCATGCATAGCATCTTCAGCTTCGCCTTGGAGCAGGATGCGTCCCTCAGGTGTTCAAAACATGAATTCCCACATCACAGTAGTCAGCAATTGTTAAGTATAATGGTACTCCCTAGTGCTCCTTGAAAAAAACATTGGCAGCTTTGAAGACTGCAAAAAAATGGGCTGGTACAGTTAGCTCAGGCGGTTAAGCAACTTTACAAGTACCTTTGGCTTTGAAGTTTGCAGAGTTCAATCTTACTTTAATGAATTTTGTGTGTTCAACATCCATTATTAATTTGACATTAAATAGTGTTCTTTTGATTCACCTTAGGCAAAATGGATGCCCTAGCTGCTCTCCTAGGAAATCATGCCAAGACGCAGGCAGACCTTAAGAAACTGATGGGGGACAGCCGAACTGACTACCAGGAGAAACTTAAGATGAGAATTGAGAGAAGGAAAAAGAAAATTGCTGAAGGTAAGAAAGATATCCATCTATAACGTTGGAATAATATTTAAAAAAATGAATAACCAGAAATACAATTTGTCTCCTTGGTTGATGTCAACCTGTTGTATACATTGCAATGCATATTCTACGCTATACATGTATATGGCTCTCCCTGATTTGATTAAATGTAGAGAAATACATGTATACTTTCGTGATTGGTCTTGTTTGGCCGTAGGTTGTTCATAAAAGTATGCAGTAAATGCTCCCTTTATTTGCAGTGAATTAAGAATGTTTCCATATTCAGAATGTTTCCATATTCAGTGTTGTAACTGTTCAGACTTGTTAGCTGCATGCTTGCCTTTTAAAACAAAATACTTTGTTTTGGAACCGTCATTTTTCAAAGTGAGCACAAAGTTACAATCTTATTTTTTGATGAAGGTGGAAACCTGGATGACATAGAAGAAGAACTGTCAGAAGAGGAAGGTGATTCTCAAGACTCTTCCTCCAAAGGCTCAAGCCCCCTAGAGGACCTGCAGAGGCGTTATGATAGTGAACGGGAGGCAATTCTCATGAGATTGAACAGTTCAGAGGCTGAATACATGAGTGAGAAGGAACGACAGGCAGAACTGATTCGACTTAGACTAGAATTACGTAAAGCAAGAGGAGAGGACAACTTCATTGCTGCAGCACTAGTGATGGGGCTCGCTGAACGCAACCAAGCAACCACATCCCAAAGGTTCATTCTTAGTTACAAAATGAATTTTGCACTAAAATTTCTCATTAAAAAGTATCTACATGTCTATGCTTGGCTTTGCATTAGATTCCCTCCTTTACTCTGGAAGACTGAGTGTGAACCTGTTTTGAGGAGCATGAAAAGTTTGATTTTTACACTTTTGTGTTAAACTCTTTGCGAGTGCTACAGCATAGAGCAAAATCATTTACTCAACACTCAAGAAAACCTGAACCCAAAACAACATTGTGTTAAGTACTGAAATACACTTCAAAACAAGCCACCATGAATACCAGTTACAATGTACTTCAATGTTGTGTGCAACTGCAACATCTTTGTATAAATACAAGTGCAACATAGTGTAGTGTGTACAGTACTTCGTATGCATGTACAGTATATCATGTGCAGTGTATTACACAGGAAGTGCTTTACTTGCTATTATTTTTAGACTTAAGCATGACAGGCAGCGACAAGAATCCCTTGCCAAGCAGCGGATTGAAGCCATGAGAAGAAAACGAGCTTTGGGAACTATCCAAGAGGAGACTGAAGATACAGTGACTGATAATGACGATAGGAACTCAATGCAGGTAATGTAACTCAGTTTGTTCATTAGTTGAAGGGATGATAAACCATTCTGCCCCCATCGATATCCAGGATGAAGACGATTAATATGGATATAGGCTTTTCTTAACACAGCATCCTGCTGCTTTCATTGCTGGAAGCTGAATGATTGAAAATGAATTGATTTTTAATATTATTGACGTTTTAAAATCTAATAATTTTGTGCTGGTGTTGCCTTTAAATAATAATAGTTAATTGTTTTCTATCTTTTTAAAAGTTGTCTTATTAATAGACCTGTAACTCATTGATCTCATGCTTTGTTTACATACGCACACTTCCTATGACAACACGATGGATTACATCCCACCTCACTGCCGTAGGAAAGTGCACATGTAAACAAAGCAAGAAGTCATTATTTTACAGGTCAATTCTTTGTTTGTATTTGTGAATATTCCCCAAAAGCTGTAATAAATGAATTGAAGTTCATTTAATTTCATTTATTTGCCAGATAAAAAGACATACAAAAATACGCAAACTACATACAAGAGGCACAACCTAAAAACATCAAAATACATTACATGAGAGATATAAATAATATAAGATATAAATAATTGCACAGTAAGTTTAAGTGTGAGGAGACATTTTGTGACACAACAGTTGTCCGTGGAGCTAAAAACTAAAGTCAGAAGTTTCCACATGTTTTTCATTAAACCTTTTTTCAGTGCATAAGTATACATGTAGGCTTATCCATGTATATCAACCAGAGTCAGTAGCTTTTACTGTAGCAACATCACAAATGCCATTGAAAACCTTGTTGACTTAAAGGATGTTCTGATTTTCCTCATGCATCTGTGCCCTTAGTTTAAGAATGCTGATGTGAGTGTGGTGCTACCACAGAAGTGTCTCCTTGGGTTAGTCCACATGTTGCATTTATCTAAATATGAGTGTGAAAACTGTTTTCGGTACCTGTACAAAAATACCTTTTACCAATGTCTTAAATTGTATCCAGGATGCAGTAATCAGAACCCTTGAGAAGAAACACAACCTGGAAAGAGAAACACTGTATGATCTCCTTCATGCAAAGTATGGGGAAGATGAGATTCTGATTGCAGAACACATGACTCAAGAGCAACGGCAAGACATCCTACAAGAACTAATGGAAAGAAGACGAGCCATGGATGTTGGTAGGATATTATTCACAATTCACAAGGGGAGCCTTGATTGATTTCAATGGTCAAGTGCAGCTTATGTCTGTCTTGCATAAAGCAATAAAGCACAGGATGTTCCTATGTGCATGGACAATGGACATACGCAGTCACTCGTTGGATAGATATCTTTTGCCTGAGAAAGTGTGATTGTTTTCATGGTTTTGAGTAATGTATTGAACTTGTGTGCCTCTTTCTTCAACAGCAAAATGCTGTGAATTTTTTAATAAAACATTTTGTCATGATGTATGATGCAGTCAAGTGACAGCAATCAATTCCATGTTCATAACACCCACATGCTCATGTTATGCTAGTCATAACTGTCCCCATGTCGTCAGTGCACATACAAAACACATTCTCAATCAATAAGTAATTACGGGCTCAAAAAATCGTGGCTGAAAAAACTTGCCTAGTTTGTCTTCAGTCCATCTTGAGCAGAAGCATCCCCTCACCAGTTAAAAAAGAGCCATGTTGATAGGGAGTGTTCATTTTGTTGGTAGCCATTTTGTTGTTGATAATCTCGATGAAATCTTATTCTGTGGCATTTGGTCTTTCAGGCAAAAAACAAGAGAATCAAGTTATTTTGAGTGAAGCATCAATTGTGAAGATGGCAGGACGAAAAAAAATACTTGAAAAGGAGACTACCAGGACTTCCATAAGCAAGGATGATGTGGTAGTAACCATCATGGCTGACCTGCAACAACAACAAGCCAGAGAGTGTGAAGCTCTGCTTAGTCAACTCCCTGATAAGGTATTGAGCTCGTTCATTTGTGACATGTGGCCACCATTTTAACCAGTGCAGTACTCAGAAACAGTGAACTCTGTCATGCTGTCTCTGTTGCATCTTTTGAGTATTATGGTAATTTTCCAGGGTTTTGTAATTGATCTATACGGTGACACTCATCCAACACTAACAGATCTAAAGTAATTTACTCATGTGATTACACATTCCCATCTGTGGTTATTGCTTAGAGTATACAGTGTTGACAATAGCAATGATTTATTATGAATATGAGGAGCTGTCCTAACTGACAGCTGTGTGTTACATTTCCGGCCTGATTCCTGGCTTGCAAGTTTTATTAAACATAGCATTCATTTAAAGAGTGTGAAATGAAACAACACTTCAGGTAAAAATATTAAGATAAATTTCTGTAATATTAAAATAATATCAGAATGTGGTAGATATGCATGTTATTGAATATCTGGTAACTACATGTATGTATTAATGCCTGTTTAAGAATGGCTCATTTTCAGTGACAAACAAACTGAAAATGACATTTTCCATCTGGATCATGATATGGAACACTTTGGAATTGTTAAGTTCTCTTTGTGTATTTAAACTTGATGGAGTCTGTTTTCTCTTTTCAGGACTTTGAGTCCTTGGTGCATGTTCAGCAGCAGAACATTCAGGACCAGAAGAATGAACGGAATGAGAATGTTGCTGTTGTGGTGATGACAGCCGATCTGAGCAAGAAGGCTGGGGAGGAGGAGTTAGTGGATGCTTTGCAAGGGAAGTTTGATGCTTTGAAGGATAAGATCCTGACAGAGGCATTAATGAAGCAGGTAATTAGAAATATGAACTTCTTCAAGACTGGTGACATTTTTTTCTTTATTGGCGAGTTAGAAGTAATGGTTGCTAGGCAGAGCCAACTTTTGCCACCAGGAGAGAGATTATTATACAAGCCAGTGCTTGCTTAAAGCCACATAATTGAAAACTGCACCGACAAGATTGCTATTGACTTTTCTTTAAAACAGGAGTCATTGAACCTTAAAATAAAATCACAAAACAATGCTGTCATGGCTTTATTGGCATTAATTGTAACAATGTGCAAGAACAGTGCTCAGCCAAATACTACTCAAGTACTTCCATCCTAACAATTTAATTTTCATGACACTGTGATTTTCTGAAATTTTAAGTTTATTTTGTAATATTACCTTTTTGTTTTTACTATCCAGTGTTTGTGTTTTCTAGCTTTGTTCACTCCTAAGCAGTTCAATAATTGGCTCTAAGCTTGGTACTCAAAAAAGTTCTGAATTGCAACACTGGATAATAATACTAATGAGATAATGCCCTCAGCACCATGTTGATGGATAGGAAGTCATTCAAGCAATGCTAATAATTTCTGTCCTGATTTAGATTGGTGAAGCTGAATGGGCTGTGCTTTCAGAGAAGGAGAGACAAGTCCGTCTGGTCAAGCTTCGACTTGAAGAACGACGACTGCGCCAGGAGGGAAAGTATGATGAGGCTGCTGCACTGTTGGGTGATGCCATCGCATCGCAGACTGCGCTGGAGCTGTTGCTTGGGGATACCAAGAAGCAACAGGAGGATAAACTGAAAGAGAGGCTTGAGAAGAGACGACTGAGAGTGGCTCAGGGTAGGTTGAGTTCAGAGCTGGAAGGTCTTTAGAAGTCAAACAGTGTCTGTAAAATTAAGCAAACTTGCAAGTGGAAATTGACTTTATTCACGTAACCCTAACCCGGTTAGGGTTAGGGTTACGTGGGAAAACATACTGGTGCTCTTTAAACTGATCTATCCAGCTCTGTGTTTGTCTTCTTTTCAGAATGCTACAGGGGAGTTCTATGAACTGATAGATCCAGTTCTGTGTTGGTCTTCCTTTCAGAATGCTACGCAGGAGTTCTGTGAATTGATCTATCCAGCTCTGTGTTGGTCTTCCTTTCACAATGCTACGCAGGAGTTCTATGAACTGATCGATCCAGCTCTGTGTTGGTCTTCCTTTCAGAATGCCATGCAGGAGTTCTATGAACTGATAGATCCAGTTCTGTGTTGGTCTTCCTTTCAGAATGCTACGCAGGAGTTCTATGAATTGATCTATCCAGCTCTGTGTTGGTCTTCCTTTCAGAATGCCATGCAGGAGTTCTATGAATTGATCTATCCAGCTCTGTGTTGGTCTTCCTTTCAGAATGCCATGCAGGAGTTCTATGAATTGATCTATCCAGCTCTGTGTTGGTCTTCCTTTCAGAATGCCATGCAGGAGTTCTATGAACTGATCGATCCAGTTCTGTGTTGGTCTTCCTTTCAGAATGCTACAGGGGAGTTCTATGAACTAATATCTCCAGCTCTGTATTGACCAGTCTTCTGTCCAGAATGCAGTACTACAACACTGTGAACTGATGTATTGAACTCTGTGATGGTCTTTTTTCTAGCATGCATTCCTGAAGCTCGTTTAACTAATCTCTGTGTTAACATTTGCAGAAAACCTACTGGAGCTCCATGAATTGAGCTATTCAGCTCTGTTTTGGTCTTGTTTCCAGAATGCTCTACTCAGAGTTGCTGACTCAAGTCATGTGACTTAGAGTCGAGTTGGACTTGAGTCGCTATTTTTGTGACATGTGACTTGACTTGGACTTGTTACCAACCCAAGTCAGACGCTACTCGACCAGCCCCATATATTTTTGTATCTCGTAACTTGCAACTTCGTAAGTTGATGCCTGGTTCTTTTTGTTGATTACAGCTGGACAAAATAATGCATAGCTTGACTTGTACTTGGACAAAGAGACTTGTGACTTGACTTGTGTTTAGATCAAATGATTTGTGACTGGACTCCCCCTGTGACCAAATGA